GTCCGCCTGATGACCAAAGTCAGCTTGCAGGCTCCCGGCCCGTCGCTAGAGCGCGATGAGCCATGGAATGCCCCCCGGCCAAACCCTCCCCTAACCCGGACGATACTAGGCCAATTGTGCGCCATCCTATGGAGCTCCCGGTCACGGCCGGCTGTGACACAGCCTGGGATGAGATGAATGGAGCAAAGTACAGAGATCCTTGATGAAAACCTGCTCCAGAGCGCTCAGGACCTTAAGACTGGGGTGAAGGTTCATCTTCCAAAAGGACAACGACCCTAAGCACACAGCCAAGACAACGTAGGAGTGGCTTCAGGACAAGTCTCTGAATGTCCTTGAGTGGCCCAGCCAGAGCCCAGACTTGAACCCGATCTAACATCTCTGGAGAGATCTGAAAATAGCTGTGTAGCGACGCTCCCCATCCAACCTGACAGAGCTTGAGAGGATCTGCAGAATGGAAACTCCCCAAATACAGGTGTAGATTGATGAGGGGGAAAAAACAATGTAATCAATTTTAGAATAATTAGGGGTGTAACGATCCATCTACTACATCGATGTATCGATTTATATTCCTATGATCCAACTACATCGATTTGTGCTCGGCGAGTTGGCCTTTTGGACAACATATATCGATCTAACATAGTTTTAAAATGTAATAAATCGATTGTATCGATACTAGGAAATAACCCATTGGATTTAAGCACGTCAGACTTTATATGCAGGGGTGCACATAACTGGTACGCAGATACGCAAGCGCGACAAAAATCAGGAATGCGTAATGCCACTTGTGTTACTACGCGCCTTTGCGTACTTGACCGATCTTCTCATCTAACCTTACACATGACATGTTGCTTGTCAACTACTGTCAGGGATGTCCAAAAAGCAACAGACATTAAGCAGCTTCTTTGGTGTTTCGCCACCTACAAAGAAACGCCAACTGGAGCCAGAGCCGAAGAAAATACTTTTTTCGGAAAAGTGGCTCCAAGATGTGCAGTGGCTTGAAGCTAACGATGAGCGCACTGAAATGTGGTGCAAGATTTGCCGCTCAAATCCACATCTAGCAGACAAAACAGGTGCATTTTATAAAGGCTCAAAGAATTTCAACCATCCTTTATTTGACAAACATGAAAAGAGCAAGGAGCACACGAATGTGGCGCAAGCCATTGCTAAAAGCTAGCCGATAATAAATGTCCAGTCGCCCACTTGCCAGATGGCGAGACAAGCTGAATGAAGAACAGCGGCAAGCTCTGTTTAATATTTTTCTCTTTCCATAAAGCTAAACACGCACGTCCCATGTCTTCCTATTCTGAGGATGTTCCTTTACTGAAGCGGCTAGGAGTAAATGTCGGAGGTGCATATCATTCACGTGAAGGGGGCACACGGATCATGCAGAGCATCGCTCACACCATCAGCGGGGAGTTACGAGCCAAGTTGCAGTCTGCTGAATTTTGGGGGCTGCTTTTTGATGGATCTGAGGACATCACAAAAACTGAGCAGGAAATAGTTTACATTGTGTCTGTGTCCAGCAACGGAGAGTTTACTTCGGACTTTATTGGACTGATTGAATTGGGTGCTGACCGAACCGCACAGGCCATAACAGACGGACTTGTGAGACTTTTCCAGGACACAGGCTTGGATGACTGGACAACAAAGTTGGTCGCTGTGTGCACAGACGGGGCTGCTGTCAACGTAGGTATCTACAACGGCGTTGTGCCAAAACTCCGGCAACATGCTGCGGTTGGAGACTCCCTTGTGCACATTCTGTGCACCGCACACACACTGGAGAATTGCGCGAAATCAGCTGATCGCAACGTTCCTTACTGTGAGACATTTCATCGCTCTGTGGTCAAGCTGCTGCAGTTTTATTTACAAAAAGGTGGAGCAAAAAAAACTGCTGCACTGAATAAAGTTATGTGAAGAAAATGGGATCTCCTTTGTGGAACTGGGTAAGTTTCATAATACCAGATGGTCTGCATGGAGGCATGAAACACTGTTAAAAATATCAAGACTATTGCCAGCCATTAAAATGCAACTGGTTACGAGTGATAAGTGACTTGCAGCATATCTGCACAGAGCGTTTTCAGTGCTTTCTGTCAAACATGCTTGACATTTGCAACATTTTGAAGACCACATCCATTAGGTTTCAGAAGGAAAAGCTGACCATTGGAGAATGTAAGGATGAACTCATGGTGGCCATTGGACAGTTCACACTTCTGCTTGATGGTGAAAGCCACAGGGCACACACTGTTTCCAATGCTGATGCTGACAGAGACAAGACACACTTACTCAGGGGGTTAATTGAAGAGTTTGAAATCAGATATGACTCCCTCAAGTCATGTGATCATTTCTTAGTATTTGATCCTTCAACATGGCCTCAGGAAATGCAAGACCTCCACAGTTTTGGAAACACAACAGTTTGCAGCATTCTCAAGAAATATGAGGCCACCTTGCAACTTGACAAAGATACCACTGTGACAGAATGGATGCGCTTAAAGCAGGCAGGAAAACGCCTGGGAGCCTCTTCTGTGTATGACTTGGTCCAAATAGTAAGTACAAGTAACCCAGATGCTTATTCCAACATCAACAAGGTGGTTAAGCTGTCTCTTACACTGCCTTTAAGCAGTGCAGCTTGTGAGAGGGGATTCTCACATCTCAACATAATAAAAACCAAGTACAGATCTTGTCTGTCACATGCTCGTCTCTCAGCCCTGATGCACATTCACCTGTCAAAGCAGACCACAGAGACATTTGACCCAAAGCTTGCTGTTGACCTGTGGATGGAGACAGCTAATCGGAGGCTCAACCAAGGACAGGGAGGTGTATCTGCAGCATCTTCATCTACCATGCAGGAAGCTGAAGCAGAGGACAGTGGGGGGCGACACTGAAGAGGACAGTGAGGAAGACTGTACTTATTAAGACCACGCTACATATGGGGTGAGTACCAGACACCATCTGCTGGTACTCACCTGAGTAACTCACTGAAAAAGGTATGTGCACCCCTGTTTATATGGATGTTTTTTCTTAGCACTTTTAATGATAAAGGCTTTAAACATTACTCGATTCAGTCTGCCTATCCGTGACGTCATCGCGCCAGCAGCAGCGCAAAGGCGCCAAGACAACAAAACATAGCATGGCGGACGACAGAGGAGAAGCCGACGAGCGAGAAATTATCAAGCCACCATTGCGGTCCTTACAAGAAACAGGAATCTAGGAAACTTCACCTGCACTGTCCAGTATCCAGGTATTTATTTCAGTCACACTGGTTGAATTTTTGGCTAAAAGGTTACTGAATCGATTTCAAGTCACTGAATCATTTCGGATCGTATCGTTCTAAATGAACCAATATCGTCCTTGAATCGTATCGACAACCACGAATCGTGATACAAATCGAATCGTTGTTAAAACGAATCGTTACACCCCTAAGAATAATGCTGTAACCTAACAAAATGTGGAAAAGGTCAAGGGGTCTGAATACTTTCCGAATGCACTGTAGATAGATAAGTATTCAACCCCCTGAGTCAATACATGTTAGAATCACCTTTGGCAGCGATTACAGCTGTGAGTCTTTCTGGTTGTCTCTAAGGAGGTTTGCAAACCTGGATTGTGCAATATTTGCCCATTATTCTTTTAAGAATTATTCAAGCTCTATCAAGTTGGTTGTTGATCACTGCTAGACAGCCATTTTCAAGTCTTTCCATAGATTTCCAAGCCGATTTTAAGTCAAAACTGTAACTAGGCCTCTCAGGAACATTCAATGTCGTCTTGGTAAGTAACTCCAGTGTATATTTGGCATTGCGTTTTAGGTTATTGTCTTGCTGAAAGGTGGATTTGTCTCCCAGTGTCCTCTAGGATTTTGTGTGTGCTTAGCTCTATTTCTTTTATTTTTGTCCAAAAAAACTCCCTAGTCCTTGCCAATGACAAGCATACCCATAACATGATGCAGCCACTACCACCACCATGCTTGTGGTACTCAGTGATGTGTTGTGTTGTATTTGCCCCAAACATAATGCTTTGTATTCAGGACAAAAAGTTAATTTCTTTGCCACATTTCTTTCAGTATTACTTTAGTGACTCGTTGCAAACAAGATGCATGTTTTTGAATATTTTTATTCTGTACAGGCTTCCTTCTTTTCACTCTGTCATTTAGGTTAGTATTATGGAGTAACTACAATGTTGTTGATCCATCCTCAGTTCTCTCCTATCACAGCCATTTCATTCTGTAACTGGTTTAAAATCACCATTGGCCTCATGGTGAAATCCCTGAGCGGTTTCCTTCCTCTCCGGCAACTGAGTTAGGAAGGACACCTGTATCTTTGTAGTGACTGGGTGTATTGATACACCACCCAAAATGTAATAATACCATGCTCAAAGGGATATTCAGTGTCTGCTTCTTTGTTGTTTCTTACCCATCTACCAATAGGAGCCATTCTTTGCGAGGCATTCGAAAACCTCTCTGTCTTTGTCGTTTAATCTGTGCTTAAAATTCACTGCTCGACTGAAGGACCTTACAGATAATTGTATGTGTGGGGTACAGAGATGGGGTAGTCATTCAAAAATTACGTTAAACACCGTTATTACACACAGAGTTAGTCTATGCAACTTATTGTCTAAGCATGTTTTTACTCCTGAAGTTATTTAGGCTTGCCATAACAAAGAGGTTGAATACTTATTGACTCAAGACACTTCTGCTTGTCATTTATATATTAATTTGTAAAAAAAATAATCTAAAACCATAATTCCACTTTGACATTATGGGGTGTTGTGTGTAGATCAGTGATACAATCTACATTTTAATCAATTTTAAATTCCGGCTGTAACACAACAGAATGTAGAAAAAGTCAAGGGGTGTGAACTTTTTCTGAAGGCACTGTAGGTTGTAATCTATAGCCTATTATACTGCAGGATGACGTCACTACAAAGCTTCTTAAAGTACTCTGAATGCTTTGGGCTGCTCAGCGTTAGAGTGCCCATAGAAGCCATTACCCAAAGTTGTCTGAAACAACATGCTGAGGTGATATTTCCATGGTAGATATGACAAACACAAGACAGGCTCACAGTTCACACAATGCAGTGGAAATATGCAAAAAGGGTTAATGTATCTTGAAGACACTGCCTGAAAGGTAATCCTACAAGCTAATCCTACATCTTTACCATCAGTCTGTACAATGATGTTTGCGTGCATAGGGTTGTCTCTGGTTAATGTCTCTATGTCCCCCTCCTTCACATAATCAATGGGAGTTACCTAGCAGCCAGGTGAGGTATTTTCTATCTATTGTGGGTTCATTGCTTTGGCTAGAGTCTGGAGTGCTCCCCGGGTCATTTGCATTGCACATTAATCACTCACAACTCAGGAATTGAGGTCTTTATAAAAACAAAAAAAACTATTTTCAACTTTAGGGTCATTTTATTAATTCACATAGATAATGAATATCATTCAATGTGATTTTAACTTTTGGAATTAACGTATGCAAGATTATTTTTATATACAGTGCATTCGGAAAGTATTCAGACCCCCTTGACTTTTTCCACATTTTGATTTAAAAAAGAATAATCTCATCAATCTACACACAATACCCCATAATGACAAAGCAACATCCAGTTTTTAGAAATGTTTGCAAATTTATTTTAAGAAATAAACTCACATATGACATTTACATAAGTATTCAGACCCTTTACTCAGTACTTTGTTGAAGCACCTTTGGCGGCGATTACAGCCTCGAGTCTTTTTGGGTATGACGCTACAAGCTTGGAACACCTTGTAGGTGCCTTTTGGCAAACTCCAAGTGGGCTGTCATGTGCCTTTCACTGAGAAGTGGCTTCCGTCTGGCCACTCCACCATAAAGGCCTGATTGGTGGAGTGCTGCAGAGATGGTTGTTCTTCTGGAAGGTTCTCCCATCTTGGTGGTTCCAAACTTATTTCATTTAAGAGGGATGGAGGCCACTGTTAAAATAAAAATATGTTTTCACTTTGTCATTATTGTGTGAAGATTGTTGAGGATTTTTTTCATCCATTTTAGAGTAAGGCTGTAACATGTATGTATACAGTACCAGTCAAAAGTTTGGACACACCTACTAATTCAAGGGTTTTTCTTAATTTTTACTCATTTCTACATTGTAGAATAATGGTGAAGATGTCAAAACTATGAAATAACACATATGGAATCATGTAGTTACCAAAAAAGTGTTAAACAAATCAAAATATATTTTTATATTTGAGATTCTTCAAATAGCCACCATTTGCCTTGACAGCTTTGCATTCTTGGCATTCTCTCAACCAGCTTCATGAGGAATGCTTTTCCAACAGTCTTGAAGGAGTTCCCACATATGCTGAGAACTTGTTGGCTATTTTTCCTTCACTCTGCGGTCCAACTCATCCCAAACCATCTCAATTGGGTTGAGGTCGGGTGATTGTGGAGGCCATGTCATCTGATGCAGCACTCCATCACTCTCCTTCTTGGTCAAATAGCGCTTACACAGCCTAGAGGTGTGTTTTGGGTCATTGTCTTGATGAAAAACAAATGAGAGTCCCACTAAGCGCAAACCAGATGGGATGGCGTATCGCTGCAGAATGCTGTGGTAGCCATGTTGGTTAAGTGTGCCTTGAATTCTAAATAAATCACAGACCGTGTCACCAGCAAAGCACCCCCACACCATCACACCACCTCCTCCATGCTTCACCTGATAATTAATTGCACCCTGATTAGAGGGGAAGTGTGGGGAAGAAGCTGTGGATTTAAGGGGTATGTATACAAACACTGCAGTGCAAGTGTTGATCTCCTGTGTTTTGTGTTTCTCTCCAGGTTGGTGGATGACAGATGTGTGGTAGAGCCAGCTGCAGGGGATCTGGACAATCCCCCCAAGAAGTTCAGAGGTCAGATGAGTATTGACATTATTTAGGCCTGCAACGTAGTGCGTGGGTGTGTGTGTCTCTCTTTGTGGGAGTGTTATTTAAATGTGTGCATGCGTACTTCCCTGTGTATTTGTGAGAGTGATTGCCAATATGTTATTGTGTGTTTGCTTGTGACTAAGTGTGTCCATGACTATGACATATGGGGAATGTACAGGTCTCTGCCTACTCGGCCTGATATGGGCACCAGAGAGAACAGACTCCAAATCAGACAGCAGACACATTTTTTAAAACCCGCACTCAGTTTTCTCCGATTCCATCACTGGGGTGACATCACATTCAGAGCATTTCTTTCTGATCAAAGGTTCATCGATGTCCTACCCTTGGATCTCAGTTTAAACAGTTTGTATTTTATACCATTCCGCTCCAGCCATTACCAAATGCATGTCCCCCATTAAGGTGCCACAGCCTCCAGTGCCTGCCACACCTCGACTGTATCAAATAAGACATTTCAATATTACTGAGGGGCGACCTGCATTTTAAGGATGTTTGCTGTTATGGTGCCGCTATGACCTTCCTGCCAGCCCTGTGTGGCAGATAACAACTACTGTACTCACAGAGCAGAGCACACAGACAGCCAGCTGATAAAGTCCTTTATCTCCAATATTAGTATTAGGCTGCTTTAAAAACAGGATATCCCTCTGAGGATAGGGAGAGTCAATATTGGCCCAGATCCACTGTCCCCTATGGTAAGCAAACTATTCATTTTATGTGGAAGCGATATATACTTGCTCAGACAGTGACACAGCACATCTTTGCTATAAAGAACATAGATGCTCGGGAGAATGGCAGCCATCTTGGCATAGTAATGTTAAAATAGTGCATCACTAGCCCCCTGCCCCCCATATTATACTTCACAGGTTTTTAATATTTGAAACCAACACATCTACAACATTGAATACTCACCAGTCCCCTTATTAGCAATCTTAACCCTTTAATCACACTATTATGTCTCAGACTGCCTCTTCAAAGTGTGTCCCATGAACCGCTACTCTGCACAGAAACAGTTCTGGAAAGCCAAGCAGGCCAAGCATGAAAAGGACAAGATCGCTGATGTGGTACTACTTCAGAAACTACAGGTAAAAGATACTTACAAGGTTCATACCACCAGGTTAGAGACTGTACAACAAGGATCATACCACCAGGTTAGAGACAGCACAACAAGGTTCATACCACCAGGTTAGAGACGGTACAACAAGGATCATACCACCAGGTTAGAGACAGCACAACAAGGTTCATACCACCAGGTTAGAGACAGCACAACAAGGTTCATACCACCAGGTTAGAGACAGCACAACAAGGTTCATACCACCAGGTTAGAGACAGCACAACAAGGTTCATACCACCAGGTTAGAGATGGTACAACAAGGTTCATACCACCAGGTTAGAGACAGCACAACAGGGTTCATACCACCAGGTTAGAGACAGCACAACAAGGTTCATACCACCAGGTTAGAGACAGCACAACAAGGTTCATACCACCAGGTTAGAGACAGCACAACAAGGTTCATACCACCAGGTTAGAGATGGTACAACAAGGTTCATACCACCAGGTTAGAGACGGCACAACAGGGTTCATACCACCAGGTTAGAGACAGCACAACAAGGTTCATACCACCAGGTTAGAGACAGCACAACAAGGTTCATACCACCAGGTTAGAGACAGCACAACAAGGTTCATACCACCAGGTTAGAGACAGCACAACAGGGTTCATACCACCAGGTTAGAGACAGCACAACAGGGTTCATACCACCAGGTTAGAGACAGTACAACAAGGTTCTTACCACCAGGTTAGAGACAGTACACTGGATTTTCACTGACACTGATGCAACTTTTCCTTGTTCTCCACAGCATGCCTCTAATCTGGAGCAGAAACAGAACGAGACAGAAAACAAGAAGGTCCACGGTGGTGTAGTAAAATACGGCACTGTCATTCAGGTAAGGTCTGAGTTCCCAGCAGCACTGTTGAGCACAGGAGGTTGGTGGCACCTTAATTGGGGGGGACGGGCTCGTGGTAATGGCTGGAGCGGAATTGGTGGAACAGTATCAAATATATCAAACACATGGTTTATATGTGTTAGATGCCATTCCATTTGCTCCGTTCCAGCCATTATTATGAGCCGTCCTCCCCTCAGCAGCCTCCACTGCTGTTGAGATAAGCCGACACTCAGGTGTTCAACAGCCTATGCCTCTTCCTGCTCTGGTGAATGGAATTACTGTAACTGTAATGTAATGGGATCAGGCCGATATTAATGAATGGCTGGTCTTGTACCGTAGGGGAAGCTTGAGCACACCTGCACATTCTCAGTGTGATGGGTCTGCAGATCACCAATCAGTATGTGTCTGGTAAAGGGTTTGAGCACACCTGCACAGTATCAATCAGGGAGGGGTCCCAGAATACCTGTGTTTGAATCACTTTCAGCAAGTATGCACCCAGCTAGCACATAGCGTTCTGAGAACCATATGTTTCTTAGGGCTTGGTGAGAGCGTGGTTGTCCTATAGTTATTTTGCATACAACCTTCCCACAGCATTCTGGGAAAGATGCAGGATAGTTGCTTGGCTTTGGAACATTCTCAGCACATTAAACAACAAACATTATTTTCTAAGTATTTACTTTAACAGAACGTTTCCTAAAAGTTCAAACATGGTTACATTTAATTTCAGTTTTAGTAATGTTCTAGGAACGTTCTCCAACTGGTTTGACATTGGGAATGTTCTCAAATAGTTCAGAGAACGTTAAGAAACAACATTCTTCTGTGGGAATTTCAGTACTTCAGCATAACGTTTCCTACAGGTTCTATTTAAAGTAATGTGTCCAAATTGTTCAGAGAACATTAACAAAACTTTTGTACGTTTCCGAGAACGTTTAAAGAACGTTATTTAAAAACATATATTCAGTTCTCAGCATCAACAAAATTCTCTCTATCCTCTATCATGTTGTGTGTTGGCCACACAAACTAATAGGCTACACCAGATCTTAATGAGTGCTTGTTTCCTTTGAAATGGGGTCTGTTTGAATAGATTAAAATGAACAGCTTTGTATGCGTAAAAAAACATGGCATGCTAGCTCCATCCTGGTGGCGCAGTGGACTAATTCCACGGATAGAGAACAGAAGATTATAGGTTTGAATCTCACTGATGCTGTGTCACAATAAAAAAAGAAATGTGTTTGAATGATTAATGCTGAAGCAAATTAATTTCCATGTGTCCTATCTGTGCTTGGAGTTCAAAAAAGTATTATTGAAACATTTAGTGAAAGTTTTTTAAGGAAGTTATTAAAATAACTCTAAATAATCTATAATTTCTGTTCTCAGAGCGTTGATAAAACCTCCCAGGAAAACGTTCAAGGAACCAGCGTAAAATGTTCTCAGAACCTCCCTCACTTCTGTTCTCAGAGCGTTAATAAAACCTCCCAGGAAAACGTTCAAGGAACCAGCGTAAAACGTTCTCAGAACCTCCCTCACTTCTGTTCTCAGAATGTTTAAAAAAACGTTCAGTTTTATCAGTCAGGAAACGTATGTCTTCATTCCCACAACCAAAAAACAAGGACCCAAATGTGCTAGCTGTGGGTAGCATCACTCACTAATGGGAGTTATTGACCTCCAAGTTACAGGGATTGGTGTGATGATAGTCAGGTGTTTCGCAACCTAAGCTTCCTCATTTACATTTTACATTTTAGTCATTTAGCAGACGCTCTTATCCAGAGCGACTTACAGTTAGTAATCATCATGACTCCTAATAGCTGATCCATAACGGCTTGTTTCTGCATGTCACCCTGTATGGAAACTTAGACAGCCTATGTGCCAGGTTGTCATCGCCATAGACAGGTGAAGTCCGCCTAGATTTTCCTCTTAAGTGTGTTCATATTCTAAAGAAATTCTAAGTGATGACAGAGAACAGACCGCACCGGTTTCTCAGTGATCCCTACCGCTGGGCATTCCACATGAAAAGCGCCTTTTTACTACCATGTCATAAACAACATAACGTAATAGTGCGTTGAATCATATGTAGCAAAGACTAATTTACTGCATGTGTGTAGTACTAGTTGTAATTTATTTGCACCAAAGAAAACAAGTGATAAACAACAATACAGATAAAAAACTAATTAAAAAAATTAAAAAACTGTGTGCAGGTTGGAAGCCCAAGGGCTTAAATAAAAACCACACCACAAAAAAACAATATAAACTACAGTGGCTTGCGACAGTATTGTCGCAAGCCACTGTAGTTTATATAGGGTCATACAGTGGGGGAAAAAAGTATTTAGTCAGCCACCAATTGTGCAAGTTCTCCCACTTAAAAAGATGAGAGAGGCCTGTAATTTTCATCATAGGTACACGTCAACTATGACAGACAAATTGAGAGAGAAAAATCCAGAAAATCACATTGTAGGATTTTTTATGAATTTATATGCAAAATGGTGGAAAATAAGGATTTGGTCACCTACAAACAAGCAAGATTTCTGGCTCTCACAGACCTGTAACTTCTTCTTTAAGAGGCTCCTCTGTCCTCCACTCGTTACCTGTATTAATGGCACCTGTTTGAACTTGTTATCAGTATAAAATACACCTGTCCACAACCTCAAACAGTCACACTCCAAACTCCACTATGGCCAAGACCAAAGAGCTGTCAAATGACACCAGAAACAAAATTGTAGACCTGCACCAGGCTGGGAAGACTGAATCTGCAATAGGTAAGCAGCTTGGTTTGAAGAAATCAACTGTGGGAGCAATTATTAGGAAATGGAAGACATACAAGACCATTGATAATCTCCCTCGATCTGGGGCTCCACGCAAGATCTCACCCCGTGGGGTCAAAATGATCACAAGAACGGTGAGCAAAAATCCCAGAACCACACGGGGGGACCTAGTGAATGACCTGCAGAGAGCTGGGACCAAAGTAACAAAGCCTACCATCAGTAACCCACTACGCCGCCAAGGACTCATCCTGCAGTGCCAGACGTGTCCTCCTGCTTAAGCCAGTACATGTCCAGGCCCGTCTGAAGTTTGCTAGAGTGCATTTGGATGATCCAGAAGAGGATTGGGAGAATGTCATATGGTCAGATGAAACCAAAATATAACTTTTTGGTAAAAACTCAACTCGTCGTGTTTGGAGGACAAAGAATGATGAGTTGCATCCAAAGAACACCATACCTACTGTAAAGCATGGGGGTGGAAACATCATGCTTTGGGGCTGTTTTTCTGCAAAGGGACCAGGACGACTGATCCGTGTAAAGGATAGAATGAATGGGGCCATGTATCGTGAGATTTTGAGTGAAAACCTCCTTCCGTCAGCAAGGGCATTGAAGATGAAACGTGGCTGGGTCTTTCAGCATGACAATGATCCCAAACACACCGCCCGGGCAACGAAGCAGTGGCTTCGTAAGAAGAATTTCAAGGTCCTGGAGTGGCCTAGCCAGTCTCCAGATCTCAACCCCATAGAAAATCTTTGGAGGGAGTTGAAAGTCTGTGTTGCCCAACGATAGCCCCAAAACATCACTGCTCTAGAGGAGATCTGCATGGAGGAATGGGCCAAAATACCAGCAACAGTGTGTGAAAACCTTGTGAAGACTTACAGAAAACGTTTGACCTGTGTCATTGCCAACAAAGGGTAAATAACAAAGTATTGAGATACTTTTGTTATTGACCAAATACTTATTTTCCACCATAATTTGCAAATAAATTCATAAAGAATCCTACAATGTGATTTTCTGGAAAACATTTTTCTCATTTTGTCTGTCATAGTTGACATGTACCTATGATGAAAATTACAGGCCTCTCTCATCTTTTTAAGTGGGAGAACTTGCACAATTGGTGGCTGACTAAATACTTTTTTCCCCCACTGTATATAGGGTGATTGTCCTGCTGGAAGGTGACCTTTCGTCCCAGTCTCAAATCTCTGGAAGACTGAAACAGGTTTCCCTCAAGAATGTCCCTGTATTTAGCACGATCCATCATTCCTTCAATTCTGACCAGTTTCCCAGTCCCTGCTGATGGAAAAACATCCCCACAGCATGATGCTGCCACCACCATGCTTCACTGTGGGGATGGTGTTCTCGGGATGATGAGAGGTGTTGGGTTTGCGCCAGACATTTTCCTTGATGGCCAAAAAGCTCAATTTTAGTCTCATCTGACCAGAGTACCTTCTTCCATATGTTTGGGGAGTCTCCCACATGCCTTTTGGCGAATACCAAACGTGTTTGCTTATTTTTTTCTTTAAGCAATGGCTTTTTTTTGGCCACTCTTCCTTAAAGCCCAGCACTGTGGAGTGTACGGCTTAAAGTGTTCCTATGGGCAGATACTCCAATCTCTGCTGTGGAGCTTTGCAGCTCCTTCAGGGTTATCTTTGGTCTCTTTGTTGCCTCTCTGATTAATGCCTGGTCTGTGAGTTTTGGTGGACGGCCCTCTCTTGGCAGGTTTGTTGTGGTGCCATATTCTTTCCATTTTTAAATTATGGATTTAATAGTGCTCCATGGGATGTTCAAAGTTTCTGATATTTTTTTATAACCCAACCCTGATCTGTACATCTCCACAACTTTGTCCATGACCTGTTTGGAGAGCTCCTTGGTCTTCATGGTGCCGCTTGCTTGGTGGTGCCCCTTGCTTAGTGGTGTTGCAGACACTGGGGCCTTTCAGAACAGGTGTATATATACACTGAGATCATGTGACACTTAGATTGCACATAAGTGGACTTTATTTAACTAATTATGTGACTTCTGAAGGTAATTGGTTGCACCAGATCTTATTTAGGGGCTTCATAGCAAAGGGGGTGAATACATATGCACGCACTACTTTTCCATTATTTATTTTTTAGAATGTTTTGAAACAAGTACTTTTTTTCATTTAACTTCACCAATTTGGACTATTTTGTGTATGTCCATTACATGAAATCCAAATAAAAATCCATTTAAATTACAGGTTGTAATGCAACAAAATAGGACAAACACCAAGAGGGATGAATACTTTTGCAAGTACAAAAATAAAAAAGGTTTGTTAAAACAGATAACAAAACCTACTAATTATAAATGAATTGATCAGTAAAAAATATATATTTGTTTTGTTTAAATGTGTGAGAATTAGGCTATGTGGAGGAGATTACGGAGTAGTTTGGTTCATCAGGCTGACCCCTAGTCTTCATGGAGGAGATTACGGAGTAGTTTGGTTAATCAGGCTGACCCCTAGTCTTCGCTTGAAGTTAGAGGGATGATGATGTTTTGGCAATGTGAATATAAGAATTACAGCGTATGTATCTGATAGAGAATTGTCTGTGATGTGGGGAGGGTGAAGGTTATCGCAGTGTCTTGTGTTTATATAAGATGGATTTCAGAATTAACCTGGAAGAATCCATTTAAGGGTTTAGGTAAACTGTCTGGGAGGTATGAGTATTTGTAGATAAAAGTGCATAATTGGGGTACATTAATGTTGTAAATAGACAAGATATTGAGTTTCTTAAACAAAACGTTCTTAAATTCAACAGGTCTATCAAACCAAGAACATTTGTCTGAACTTGAACATATTTTAGAGTTTTGTTCATTTCATAGATGGGCTACAGTTGATGGTCATTATCAGACATCTCCAACCCCTATTTTCATCACTGAAGGCCCAATGAAGAGAGTCAATAATTCCCAGGAAAATGTACAGTACAGTGTCAATATCTTATGAGAAATGTATTTATTGACTGAGGTCTAGGCACCAGGATTTCCACTGAACCTGTACCTGGTCAATATTGACTCTGAGGCCTTATTGCAACAGAGAGAGGGCTGTCCTCTTGTCTTTTCCTACTAGCACTGACTTAGCTGATTAGCTACTTTATTGAGAAAAAATGTACTTACAATGACTGTGATATGTGGTTGTCCCACCTAGCCATCTGAAGATGAGTGCACTAACTGTAAGTTGCTCTGGATAAGATCTAAATGTAATGCACTTACAGAACCGTGGGACGTACAGTGAAGGGTCAATGTTAAGAGCCTTCGCTGATCCGGGCAGACATTATAGGTATGATTCCTTGTGATTCAACTGTGTAGTGTAGAGGTCCTTCTGATTCAGACAGGCTGAGGAGGGAGGGGAGGGTTGTAGACAAAGGGGGAGTCTGTTTCTCTCTCTCTCTCTCTGGAGATCAATAGCTGTAATATGTTAACGGCTGTGCAGCAAGTTTGCACAGCACACCTTGGGGTTATCACAAGAGCAAGCATACAATGCAGCACAACTAACCTGCTGAGTCACTTTATCTTCCAGGGAGTAAGGTCTAATGTAGCTTTGAGGATTTACTGAAGTTCTTCTAAGGGTTGGACACGCCTTCACCCTTCCTCAGGTTTCCCCCAGTCCTTTAATCTCCTTAGGGTTGCAAAATTCCGTGAATTTTTCAATAAATTCCCTGGTTTCCCGAAATCCCGGTTGGAGGATTCCCGGAATCGGGAGGGAATAAGTAGGAAATCCGTCTACCTCCAACCAGGATTTCTGGAAAACCAGGGAATTTATTGAAAGTTCCCGGAAGTTTGCAACCATAATTCTCCTTAGTCTCTTCTAACCATAATAAGCTTCAGTGAGGACAGGTGTGCTACTTTCCCTTCATTTGCTCTTATTGAAATGTCTGAGACCGTATAGTCTCTGAATGACAACATCTGGGGGATCCTCTCTGTTGATACATGGTTTTAGTACTATTCATCTTGGTCTTCCAACCATGCTTACTTAAGTGGTTCCCTTCCTGGCTGGCTGGTTCCCATTTATTGAATGGGATAGTGGTCTATTCGATCCATGTCAACCTACCACCATAACAGCACATTATCACAGACACGATATGAAAGTGAGTGAGTGGAGGTTTAACAGTGGCCCGTGTGGTCTGTCTTTCTGTGTGTAATGTACCCTGGCTGACAGCTCCTGCATATGAAGAGTAACAAGTTCCTGACTGTGAATAAGCGTCTGCCTGCCCTGCTGGAGAAGAATGCCATGCGGGTCACCCTGGACGGAACGGGGAATGAGGGCTCCTGGATGTTCATCCAACCCTTCTGGAAGCTAAGGGCCAACGGAGACAATGTAACTCACCTAACTCGTATTACAGTACAGACTCAAATTACATTAATACACACTAACCTAAATGTTAGCTTCACCAAGAAAAGTACCATAACCACCATCCATAAGGTTTTTAGTATAATGGGTACAGAGTACAGACATTGGTCAGAATAAACAGTAATTCAAGGTACATAACCTCAACCAGTCTGGTCCTCTGTGTTGTTCTGCAGGTAGTGGTGGGAGACAAGGTGATCCTGAACCCAGTGAATGCAGGCCAGCCCCTACACGCCAGCAACTATGAGCTCTCCGACCACACTGGATGTAAAGAGGTAATGGAGAGTTCTGTCACCATAACCACACTGTCTGATTCATCCATGGCAAACTCTCTGGAAGAGTGAGGCTTCTGACCGTCACTTCCGATCTCACACACACACGCAAAACGGTTGTTACTGACAGCAATGAAAATAGCTGTAATGTTTAATCTCTCGTGGACAGATCTACGCGTATTGAGATTTTAGCTCTGGGTTAACCGAGATGAATCTACTGCAGATGCAGCAGGTGTGCCATGCTGAAGCTGTGTGTGTGTGTGTGTCCCTCTGCAGGTGAACTCTGTGAACTGCAACACTAGCTGGAAGATCAACCTGTTCATGATGTTCAGTGATCATAAGGATGAAGTCTTGAAAGGAGTAAGTCTCCTGTAACGTCCGTGTGTGTGTATACCATCTATCAACTTCTATCACTGTGATTGATTCTTCATCATTTTCACACCCTAACACTGTCACGAATAATAGCATTAGAACCTTTAAGCTTTAGATGAATGCATCTCTTTCCTGGTGTGTCTGGTCAAGGGGGATGTAGTGCGGTTGTTCCATGCGGAGCAGGAGAAGTTCCTGACCTGTGATGAGTACAAGGTCAAGCTGCATGTGTTCCTCCGCACCACCCTGCGCCAGTCTGCTACCTCCGCCACCAGCTCCAATGCCCTGTGGGAAGTGGAGGTTGGTACACACACACACCACATTATTGGCTTTGTTACGGTACAGTTTCAATATGCTCTGTTGTACAGTAGCTAAATGGTTTCAGGAATGAATGAGGTTTGTTTTGATGATGTGATTTGTTCCAAGGTGGTGCATCATGATCCGTGTCGAGGAGGGGCTGGACACTGGAACACTCTGTATCGTTTTAAACACCTTGCCACAGGGAACTACCTGGCAGCTGAGGTAAAACACGACTGCACTACTGGTTATTGGACCATGGCTTTACTGCACTACTGGTTATTGGACCATGGCTTTTGGTCATTACACAGGCTGTACGGATGTTGGGTCGTTTCAGTTCATAGAGCACCCGTGTTGTCGTTGCTTTAGGAAAATCCGGGTTACAAAGGTGACAGCGTTGAAATCCAGACTTCGGTGATTGAAGAAACGGTAAGCATACTATATTATGACTGTCTAGTGCTACTCATGCCAGCGTGATGCTGTCATTCATCCAGTTGATATGACAGTCAGTGTGCTAAACCCTGACCCTTGACCCTTGACCCCTGCCTTCTGTAGCTGGACAATAGACGAAAACTGAAGATGTTGGGTGAGAGGATCAAGTACAAGCTGGCGGCTGTGTCTCATGGGAATGACATAGCCTCCTTGTTTGAGCTAGACCCCACCACACTGCAGAAAACAGACTCCTTTGTGCCAAGGTACTATACTGCATCAACTCCAATCCTCTTCAAGCCATCTGCACAGACTGTACAATAAAGTAAAGACTTACAGTATGTTTCACTGGCTCTCTATTGTAAACGTTCTTCCTCTCAGGAATTCGTATGTGCGCCTCAGACACCTATGCACCAACACATGGATCCAGAGCACCAACGTGCCCATAGATCTAGATGAGGAGAGACCTATTAGGCTCATGGTAAGTACAGCCTGTTGCACAGTCACTTGACTAACTTTGACACCGACTTCCTGTCAGACACAGACAGTCTTTCTGTTCCATCCCGCTCTCAGCTGGGCACCTGTCCTACCAAGGAGGATAAGGAGGCCTTTGCCATCGTGTCAGTGCCAGTGATGGAGATCTGGGACCTGGACTTTGCCAACGATGCCAGTTTTATGTTGAGCACCGTAGTGGACAGGTTTAACGAGGGATTTATCAGCCCCAATGACAGAAGGTAAAGTGTCTGCAGAAAAGGCTTAAAATACAGTACCAGTCAAAAGTTTGGACACACCTACTCATTCAAGGGTTTTTCTTTATTTTTACTATTTTCTACATTGTGGAATAATAGTGAAGACATAAAAACTATGAAATAGCACATAAGGAATCATGTAGTAACCCAAAAAGTGTAAAACAAATCAAAATATATTTTATATTTGAGATTCTTCAAATAGCTACTCTTTGACTTGATGACAGCTTTGCACACTCTTGGCATTCTCTCAATCAGCTTCACCTCGAATGCTTTTCCAACAGTCTTGAAGGAGTTTCCACATATGCTGAGCATTTGTTGGCTGCTTTTCCTTCACTGTGTGGGTCATTGTCCTGTTGAAAAACAAATGATAGTCCCACTAAGCCCAAACCAGATGGGATGGCGTATTGCTGCAGAATGCTGTGGTAGCCATGCTGGTTAAGTGTGCCTTGAATTCTAAATAAATCACGGACAGTGTCACCAGCAAAGCACCCCCACACCATAACACCTCCTCCTCCTCCATGCTTTACGGTGGGAACTACACATGCAGAGATCATCCGTTCACCCACACCGCGTCTCACAAAGACACGGCGGTTGGAACCAAAGGACACATTTCCATTGCTCGTGTTTCTTGGCCCAAGCAGGTCTCTTCTTCTTATTGGTGTCTAGTAGTGGTTTCTTTGCAGCAATTTGACCATGAAGGCCTGATTAACACAGTCCCCTCTGAACAGTTGATGTTGAGATGTGTCTGTGACTTGAACTCTGTGAAGCATTTATTTGGGCTGCAATTTCTGAGGCTGGTAACTCTAATGAACTTATCCTCTGCAGCAGAGGTAACTCTGGGTCTTCCATTCCTGTGGCGGTCCTCATGAGAGCCAGTTTCATCATAGCGCTTTATGGTTTTTGCGACTGCACTTGAAGAAACTTAAGAAGCTTATTTGAGCTGTTCTTGCCATAATATGGACTTGGTAATTTACCAAATAGGGCTATCTTCTGTATACCCCCCCTACCTTGTCACAACACAAGTGATTGGCTCAAACGCATTAAGAAGGAAATAAAATTCCACAAATTAACTTTTAAGAAGGCACACCTGTTAATTGAAATGCATTCCAGGTGACTACCTCATGAAGCTGGTTGAGAGAATGCCAAGAGTGTGCAAAGCTGTCATCAAGGCAAAGGGTGGCTATTTGAAGAATCTCAAATATAAAATATATTTTGGTTAAAAAAAAATAAAAAAATAAAAAACTTGAATAAGTAGGTGTTTCCAAACTTTTGACTGGTAGTGTACATCAATGAAATCAAACAACTTTTGCGAAAGAAAGCTTCTGGTCTGTTTGCTCTCCGTTCTACTTGATTGATGTCAGCATTTTCAGAGCTGGCACCGTAACACAGTCACGAGGGTTAGTTCCCTAGCCCAGACCAACCGGGCCGGACCAGTAAGAGCTGTGTTTGTGTCCCGTCTTTGACACTGCAGGTTTGCCATTAAGCTGCTGGAGGACCTGGTGTTCTTTGTGGTGGACATGCCCAACAGCGGTCAGGTTGTGCTGGATGTGGTGATGACCAAGGTCAACCGAGAGAGACAGAAACTCATGAGGGAACAAAACATCCTCAAACAGGTCAGAAGAACCACTTTAAACAAGCCTAGTGTAATGGCGCCTCCCTAAACATCAGATTGATGATGACATATAGGTTTATCATTTCTTGTCGTAATTATATCCATATTGTCACGTTACCTTGAATATTCCTCTGTTCTTTTGTCCCGCTGAAGATCTTTGGGATCCTGAAGGCCCCGTTCAAGGATAAAGGGGCAGAAGGCCCATTGCTGCGATTGGAGGAGCTGTCAGACCAGAAGAATTCCCCCTACCAGTACATGTTTCGTCTCTGTTACCGGCTGCTGCGACATTCACAGGAGGACTACCGCAAGAACCAGGTACTGTACACCACATTGACTCACATTCTGTAACAGGGTAGATTACCGTAATTTTCTGACTATAAGCCGCGCCTTTTTCCCCCATTTTTCGACCCTGCGGCTTATATAACGGTGCGGCTAATCTATGGATTTTTACAGCTAACGGCCACTAGAAGACCTCGTAAATCTATGGATTTTACAGGTTACAGTCCACCAACTTTAACTCTATGGGCTCTATGACCGGTCCGCGCCCCCCACCTTTAAGCGGCAGGCTCCAGCAGGAAAAGCTGGAGGCCGGAAAAGAGTGAGACAGGTAGCGCGCAAAAGTAAAAGTGGAACCGAGAGTGGTACGAGAGACAGAACGAGAGCAAGACAGACAGACATTACGAGAGCGAGACAGTTTGTCTCTTTCCCGACAATCCCCTCTGTGCACGAACCCTTAAATATGGTAATTAAACATTAAAACACCTGCGGCTTATAGTCCAGTGCGGTTTATATATGTACACATCATTCAATATCATTCAATTTAGCTGCTGTGGCTTATACTCCGGTGCACCTTATAGTGCGGAAAATACGGTACTTTTCCTGGCCCAATATAAAATGATTGATACCTGGGCCTCCTTTGCTGCTAAAGCTAAATGTAGAGCAACAGGCCACTTGGAGATACACAAAAGTGACTTACACCACTAAAAATCCCCACTCTTGCTTCCCCCCCCTCAGGAGCACATAGCCAAGCAGTTTGGATTGATGCAGTCTCAGATTGGCTATGACATCCTGGCTGAGGACACAATCACTGCTCTGCTGCACAACAACCGCAAGCTGCTGGAGAAGCACATCACCAAGACGGAGGTGGAGACCTTCGTTAGCCTGGTCCGCAAGAACAGGGAACCCAGGTGAGAAGAGCGATTCTCCCCCCCCCCCCCCCTCAACTTGTGCATTCAAATAATATCCATGTTTATTCAAAACTGTTGTGGTGTAACTTAAACATCGGCCTGTTTCCCCTCAGGTTTCTGGACTACCTGTCAGATCTGTGTGTGTCCAATAACGTAGCCATTTCTGTAACTCAGGAGCTGATCTGTAAGTGTGTGCTGGATCCCAAGAACCAAGACATTCTCATCAAGACTGAGTGAGTGGTGCTCTTCTTTACACACAAACAAACAGTTGACATGCGACGGCCTCTCTCTGTGTGTGTGTGTGTGTGTGTGTTTTCTTCTGGGTTGAGTGTTCATGATTTAATGTCTATGCCTGTGTTTGCCCATGCAGACGGCGTGTGCCCAAAGAGATGCCCCATCCCACTGAATACATGGGCATGGAGGAGTATGCTGACGACGATGAGGTGTGGCTGGTCTGGACTGACAAGACCAATGAGAAGCAAGAGAAGGGCATCAGACAGCTAGCCCAGGAGGCCAGACAGGGGAACGCTCATGACGAGAACGTGCTCACATACTATAGGTAGATTTATTTATAGTATTTCACCTTTATTTATCCTGAAGGAGACTAACAGTACCCTTATGCAGGGGCGAACTTTGGTATAAGAAGTGGGGGGGACATAACTTGGCGGGGGGTCTGGGTGTCCTCCCATTGTTTTGGCTTATTTTTCCTGCATTTCTATACAATCTAATATGACCCATGGCCCTTTTTAACGGTCTCTATTTAGAACAACAAAATGTAAGCAAAAATGGCCACAGTCATCAAGCTAGGTAAGAGATCGTTATTAAATATGTTTAAGTGATTGCTAACACTGAACTAGATCTATGATAGTTCAATAATCAATGTTGTGTTGCACCTTTAACCAATAGCCTAACAAATGAACAACTCTTACAAATAAAGGACAAAGACAACTTTTGGTTCACTTTATTAAGACATCCTCTATATCAAATTTCAGCCAGACCACCCAGCCAGCCCGAGCCACCTGCACGCCCGACCCCCACCAGTCTAGTTAATTACTCAACTCTCTCCCCGACCCCCACCAGTCTAGTTAATTACTCAACTCTCTCCCCGACCCCCACCAGTCGAGTCAATTACTCAACTCTCTCCCCGACCCCCACCAGTCTAGTCAATTACTCAACTCTCTCCCCGACCCCCACCAGTCTAGTCAATTACTCAACTCTCTCCCCGACCCCCACCAGTCTAGTCAATTACTCAACTCTCTCCCCGACCCCCACCAGTCTAGTTAATTACTCAACTCTCTCCCCGACCCCCACCAGTCTAGTCAATTACTCAACTCTCTCCCCGACCCCCACCAGTCTAGTTAATTACTCAACTCTCTCCCCGACCCCCACCAGTCTAGTCAATTACTCAACTCTCTCCCCCGACCCCCACCAGTCTAGTCAATTACTCAACTCTCTCCCCGACCCCCACCAGTCTAGTCAATTACTCAACTCTCTCCCCGACCCCCACCAGTCTAGTTAATTACTCAACTCTCTCCCCGACCCCCACCAGTCTAGTTAATTACTCAACTCTCTCCCCGACCCCCACCAGTCTAGTCAATTACTCAACTCTCTCCGCGACCCCCACCAGTCTAGTCAATTACTCAACTCTCTCCCCGACCCCCACCAGTCTACATTTTAGTCATCTAGCAGACGCACTTATCCAGAGCGACTTACAGTTTAGTGAGTGCATAAATGTTTCATACTGGCCCCCCGTGGGAATCGAACCCACAACCCTGGCGTTGCAAGCGCCATGCTCTACCAATTGAGCTACAGGAGGCCTAAGCTAGCTACAGTGTAGTCAACAACTCAACTCTCTCCCCAACACAACTTCCTTCCTGTCTTTTTTTTGTATGTCTCAAGGGAAAGTTTAGGAAAACAAAAGTTTAATACAAACACACATACACCTACACATTAACACACAGAAAAAGTACATCCTCCATATAATTAATATCATAGGCCTAATAGTACTGTAGAGGTCTTTTTACTTGCACACAATACAGCTGGGTCGCCCCGTCCTGCCCATAGGGGTCCACGGCCCTGCAGTGCCCCAACCCAACACACCCCACTCAGCTTTATGATCTTAGTGAAACATTCATTATTGTTTTCAGGTGTGTTAGGCCAAGGCCAGAGTGACAACCAACAGTACGGCAGACCCCCAGGGCCAGGACTGAGCAGCCCAGCAGCTAGGGATTGCCTAAATCGGGATCTCCCCTGACGTGGGCATATTTTCAATGCAGACTCCTTTAGTCGTACTGTATTCCATATAAGGCATCTAGAAATTATGATAGTTGCACAGTATACCCTTCATCTTGTAATAAATCAAATCTAGTGATACATAACTTGACATTTTCTTCCATCCGTTGTGGGAGGATAACCAACCTTCCAATTAATGGCAATGCATTTCTTAGCCGCTATACATTCTAGGTTACACAGTTTCTTCTGATAACAGGCTCCAAGTATCAACATTTGCAAGCAAACAAAAACAGGGTGAAGGGAGAATCTGTAGACATGCTGAGATAAAATAACATACTCTTTGCCAGAATTCAGCCAGCCTTCACAAGATCATAACATATGCAAATATGTTCCCTTTTGTGTTTTACACCTCTAGCAGAATAATTACATTTCTGAGTGCATGATATTCAGTTTCACTGGCATATAGTACGTTCTATGGATGGTCTTAAACTGCAGTAATTTGTGTCTGTTATTATATGAACATGACTGGGAATTCTAACATATCTGTATCCATTCATCATCATCAATAGCGTCTCCAAGGTCTTCCTCACCTTTTTGTTTTACATGTTTTGTGTCATTGGGAAAAGCCTCTATCAACCCTTGAACCATTTGGAAATCAACTTTAGAGGTTTGTCAGACTGCCTTAAAAATAGTTTCAATCTTGTTTACTGCACAAAGAGAATAAAGTGTTGTATCTGCAAAAGTTCAACTCTGCCACGTCACAGACTGGTCTTCCCTGGCTGCCTGATGAGAACCCTGTCACCATCTGATTCTGCTCAGATGAGGCATGACAAATAATTACCTTGCTGTACATTTATACAATATATTATCCAAGAATAGAAATGGTTAAATAATTGAAATGACCATTATTCCCAGATCCCAGACTGTACCCATCAACTTGAGATGGAACTTTTGTATCCAGTCACTGATTGTTATAATATACCCTCCTGAGTGGCGCAGTGGTCTAAGGCACTGCATCGCAGTGCTAACTGTGCCACTAGAGATCCTGGTTCGAATCCAGGCTCTGTCGCAGCCGGCCGCGACCGGGAGACTCATGGGTGGCGCACAATTGGCCCAGCGTCGTCCAGGGTAGGGGAGGGAATGGCCGGCAGGGATGTAGCTCAGTTGATAGAGCATGGCGTTTGCAACGCCAGGGTTGTGGGTTCAATTCCCACGGGGGGCCAGTATATATAAAAAAATATGTATTCACTAACTGTAAGTCGCTCTGGATAAGAGCGTCTGCTAAATGACTAAAATGTAAATGTAAATGATATACTGCAAAATTCACCTGAGCTCCGTAGACTGGTCTTCCCTGGCTGTCTGACCCTGCAGGTAGACCTGTCACCATCTGATCCTGCTAAGACATGATGAGCATAGTGTTGTGTACTGACTGTGCACCATGACAGTGAAGCATGTAGAGCTGTTTATTCCGTGTCAGTGTGAAAATGAGGGAATTAGCTAGGGAAACTGACAGATCAATGACGTTACATTGCTATACTGACTAATAATAACTCACATTGCGCTGAAAAAACAAATATAATGTCGGTTTTCAATCGTTTTTCCTCTGGTTTCATCATTTGATTCAGGTTTAGTGTGATTGAGACAACAATAATAGCTAAAGTTAGTGAGCTAGCTAGTGTTATCCAACTTTGGCTAGCTCTAGCTAATGGTACGTCATCACATTTACTTCTACTGAAATGGGACAAAACTAAGGCTATAAAACATTTCCATACACACAAGAAAAGTTGTTAGATACTGCTACCTGACATAGTTAGAGGCTAGCTAGAGCTGAACTGACTGTGGTAGCTACTAGCTAGCTAACTAGCTGCTAGTAGTTCATTCACTTCAGTCGAGAGTGGATGAAACAATGTATGCACTCACTAACTGTAAGTCGCTCTGGATAAGAGCGTCTGCTAAATGACTAAAATGTAAAAAAATGAAACATTAGCGAACATATAACAGTCACACTACTAGCTCAGCATTGGGAATAAATATTTTTTTCTGTCAAAACAGCAGTTACCTTGCCAGCTAGATCAGTTAACTAAAGAGTAGCCAGTTTCTGCTCTGCTTGCTTTTGAACAACTCATTGAAAAAGCGCAACACAGACAGCAGCTGCCTCTGTTCATCTTTCCCATGCTGGTCCTATCAGAAGCTTTGCCTTCACACAACCTAACTGACCGCTCTGAGGCATCAGCATGGTCCTAAAGCACACCGTGCCGTGTGTTTGTATCACCCCCCCCATCCAGTGAAAGTTGCACCCCTGCCGTTATGATTTCCTAGATATGGGAATGTACTGTTACTAAAGGTAATGTAAACAGGGAATCTTTTGAAAAGGAAATTGTACTAATCTGAAGTATTTCAACCCTGTGACCTACTTTGAAGTCTTGTGTATGCTTCATTCTCAAACCTTCCCCTTTGTCCCTGCAGGTACCAGCTGAAGCTGTATGCACGGATATGTCTGGACCGCCAGTACCTGGCCATAGATGAGATCTCTAAGCAGCTGGATGTGGAGCTCATCTTCCTGTGTATGATGGACGAGACGCTGCCCTTTGACCTCAGAGCCTCCTTCTGCCGACTCATGCTGCACACACACGTCGACCGAGACCCTCAGGAGCTGGTGACCCCCGTCAAGTTTGCACGTCTCTGGACAGAGATCCCAACCTCCATCTCAATTAAAGAGTTAGACTTCGAAATTTTTTCCCAGATCAATGTTTTGTGCATAGTGTCATTGCATTGTTAACATTGAGGTACAGTGCAACTAAGGGCGTTTATTTCTATGTTTTTTACCTCTTCCCTTGCTTAGTTATGATTCCAACATGGATGACTTGCGGGACAATAAGAAGAACAAGTTTGCCAACACCATGGTGTTCATGGAGGAGTACCTCAACGTCGTCCTCAATGAAGACCTGCCTTTCGCTGACGAGGAGAAGAACAAGCTGACCTATGAGGTGTCAATTCACACCTCATTCCTATTCTCATTAACAATACTGTGAATACTTCAAAAACACCTATATTTGGTCATGGAAAATTACTCTCTGGCTCTCTACCACTTTAGAATGATAACTGCTAGAATGATAACTGCTAGAATGATAACTGCTAGAATGATAACTGCTAGAATGTTTTGTGCCCTCAGGTGGTGAGCCTGGCCAGACACCTCATCTACTTCGGTTTCTACAGTTTATTTGAGCTGCTGAGGTTGACACGCACACTTCTGGGAATCATCGACTGTATCCCCAAACCTTCACTGGTCAACCCCATGCTCCAGGACGATGGCAGTGGTAAGATAATGAGAAACACCTGTTCTCTGCATTTAACAGTATTACGGGAGAACTACGACACAGTGTCATTTTTATCAAACAAATTGGTACAAATGACGTTCATATTCGGGTTTCCTCATGGTTTTCACCATCTCCGTAATAATGATGTGATGAAGTAGAGTTTCAGGTTCTTTACATATCCCATTCTCCATTTTAGGAAAGAACATGAAGCGTTCCATCCATGGCGTGGGTCACATGATGTCCACAATGGTACTGAGCAGGAAACAGTCCATGTTTGGAGGTCCAGGGAGGAGTGCTTCCATTATAGAAGGACCGAACCGCAGCAAGGACAGCATCGACAAACAGGATATCACAGTCATGGACACCAAGCTGAAAATACTGGAAATAATGCAGGTTCGATAAACCTACTGGAAACTACGACATCTTCTCATGACAATTAACACAGAGATGTGGCATAGGGTTGGGTTTATGCTCGTAATGGAAAACAAGTCATAGCCCTTCATGTATCCCTTTTATACTAAGCGCTGTTCTTTATCTCTTGTTGATCTTCAGTTTATCCTGAATGTCCGCCTGGACTATCGGCTCTCCTTCCTGCTGTCTGTCTTCAAGAAGGAGTTTGTTGATGTTTATCCCATGGCAGAGGCCGATGCTACAACATCAATGGAGCAAGCAGGTAGTGCAGTGAGGGACCCATCGCTCTCCACTAACCAGGCCTTATACAGTATTCCTCTTTGAATAGCTTCTCTCCACCTCAATACATAACATTCTTAACTCTGTCTTTCAACAGCCACCATCAACCTGCAGCACATAGGAGATCAAGCAGAGGCCATGTTTGGCGTGGGGTAGGTTCACTACTATATATAGCGGCAGGTAGCTTAGTGGTTAAGAGTGTTGTGCCAGTAACCGAAAGGTCGCTGGTTCTAATCCCCGAGCTGACTAGGTGAAAAATCTGTCGATGTGCAAGGCACTTAACCCTAATTGCTCCTGTAAGTCGCTCTGGATAAGAGCGTCTGCTAAATGACTAAAATGTCAATGTAAAAATATAGTAATAATAATATATGCCATTTAGCAGACGCTTTTATTCAAAGCGACTTACGTTCATGCGTGCATACATTTTACGTATGGGCGGTCCCGGGAATTGAACCCACTATCCTGGCATTGCAAGAGCCATACTCTACCAACTGAGCTACAGAGGAGCACATACTAACCCGTGACTGTGTCCTCCTGTCAGGAAGGGGAACAGGATACTAACCTGTGACTGTGTCCTCCTGTCAGGAAGGGGAACAGCATACTAGAGGTAGATGATGAGGGAGGTTGTATGTTCCTGAGGGTGTTGATCCACCTCACCATGCATGAGTACCCTCCCCTGGTGTCTGGGGCGCTCCAGTTGCTCTTCAAACACTTCAGCCAGAGACAGGAGGTCCTGCACACCTTTAAACAGGTAAGGAGATACATTCTGAAATCACTGAAGGCAAACAAAGGGGCGGCCAATAATGACCTGCACTCCAATATAAAGTTGGTACAGTATCTGCCAGTACTCTCTCTATTACTAACCCTAATTGCTCCTGTAAGTCGCTCTGGATAAGAGCGTCTGCTAAATGACTAAAAATGTAAAAAATGTAAATATTACTGTCTCTTTGTTATACAGCTTTGTTATATATGCTCTCTCTTTCTCTCAGGTCCAGTTGCTGATCTCGGGTCAGGATGTTGATAACTACAAGCTGATAAAGAGTGACCTTGACTGTCTCCGCACCATGGTGGAGAAGTCTGAGCTCTGGGTGAACAAGAAGAGCGGCTCTGGAGGAGCGGAGGGGAAGAAAGACGAGGACAAAAATGAAAAAGTAGAGGTGAGGGCTTTAGGTTGAAGGAACTCCATTATTACCAGTGTAGTAACTACACCATGCTAACAGTACTTCTGATTTCCTTTTAGATGGACTTAGAGGATGTGACCCTGAAGAAAGAGATGTCGGATAAGAGCAATGAAAACTACCAGAAGGTCAAAGAGGTGTGTTTCTTTTCCATTGGAACTGTCACGTTTTCCTTCACACTGGCTAGCATGTCCCATTGTAGTGTTGGGCTGTATTTTTGAAGACATTCTGTTTTCCCCCAGATCATGGAGCGTCTGAATAAGATGTGCAGCACGGGGGTGTGGAAGAAGCAGCAGAGACTCCTGAAAAACATGGGAGCCCACAAAGTGATGCTCGACCTGCTGCAGGTGTCACACGATCAGGTGAGGGATGTACGTGAACGGTGTCTTACCCCCACTCTGACAACCAAACACATAGTCCAATACTAACATATCTACTAAAACCACCCAAAATAACATGACTTCTGTCTCTCTCTCACACACCTTCCTGGGTTTCAGCATGACACCAAAATGCAAGGGATCATCAGGTGCACTCACCTGTTCCTGCATAAGTTCTGCATGGGGAACCCGGAGAACCAGGTGCTGCTTCATAAGAACCTCAGCCTCTTCCTGAACCCAGGAAGTGAGTGAATTCACACACCTTGTTGTTTTCTACTTTATTCATCCTGTTCTCATCAGACATAATAATGACCCTTCTCCACCCTTTCCCTCTCCCCCTCCCCTTTCCCCCTCTCACCCCTCCCCTTTCCCCTCTTCTCCCCCCCTCCCCTTCCCCGCGTCCCCCCCCTTTCCCCTCTCTCCCCCCCCCCTTTCCCCTCCCTTTCCCCCCTCCCCCTTTCCCCTCTCTCTCCCCTCCCCCTTTCCCCTCTCCCCCTCCCCTCCCCTCTCCCCTCTCCCCTTTCCCCCTCCCCCCCCCTTTCCCTCTCTCCTCTCCCCTCCCCTCTTCCCCTCCCCTTTCCCCTCTCTCCCTCCCCTTTCCCCTCTCTTTCCCTCTCTCTCTCCCCCTCCCTTTCCCCTCTCTTCGCCTCCGCTCCCCTTCCCCCCCTCTCCCCCGTCCCCTTTCCCCTCTCTCCCGCCTTTCCCCCTCCTTTTCCCCTCCTCACCTTCCCCTCTCTCCCCCTCCCCTTTCCCCTCTCTCCCCCTCCCCTTTCCCCTCTCTCTCCCTCCCCTTTCCCCTCTCTCTCCCCTCCCCTCTTCTCTACCCCCCTTCCCCCCCCTCCCTTTCCCCTCTCTCTCCCTCCCCTTTCCCCTCTCTCTCCCTCCCCTTTCCCCTCTCTCTCGTCTTCCCTTTCCCTCCCCGCCCTCCCCCTCTCTCCCTCTCCCCTCTCTCTCCCCTCCCCTTTTCCCTCTCTCCCCCTCCCTCCCCTCTCTCCCCCTCCCTTTCCCCTCCTCTCTCCCCCTCCCCTTCGCCCTCTCCCATCCCCTCCTCTTCCCCCTCCCCTTTCCTCTCTCTCGCCTCCCCTTTCCCCTCTCCCTCCCCCCCCCTTTCCTCGTCTCCCCCTCCCCTTTCCCCTTCCCCCTCTCCCCCCTCTCCCCTCTTTCCCCTCTCCCCCTTCCCCTTTCCCCCCTCTCTCCTCCCTCCCCTCCCCTTTCCCCGATTCCCCCAGTGTAACCTTTCCCCTCTACTCCCCTTTCCCCTTCTCCCCCCTTTCCCCTCTCTCTCCTCAGCTCATAGAGGCTGAGACGGTGCAGCACATCTTCAGTAATAACTACCAGCTGTGTGCAGAGATCAGTGAGCACGTGCTGCAGCACTTCATCCACTGCCTGGCCACTCACGGACGCCACGTCCAGTACCTCAACTTCCTGCACACCATCATCAAGGCCGAGGGGAAGTATGTGAAGAAGTGTCAGGACATGATCATGACTGAGGTAAGGGAACCTCCCCCACAACCTGCTTTTAACCCTGCCCTTTTCATTGGTATGGAATCAACCTCTGAAAGTTGTAAATAATGCTGCAGTTTTTCAATGTTTATCTAGTCTAGTCTGTTTTACAATCCAAAGTTTGTGTGAAACCCTGCTAAAATAACAGATGAACCACCTCCCAGCCATTGACAAGCCGCATTAATCATATCAGCAATGTCTCCCCTCTAGTTAACCAACGCCGGTGAGGATGTGGTGGTGTTTTATAACGACAAGGCGTCGTTCTTCACCATGCTGGAGCTGATGGCAGAGTCCAGGGAGGGGATTCAAGAGCACAGCCCCTTGCGCTACCACATCTCTCTGGTGGAGCTGCTGGCTGCCTGCGCTGAGGGCAAAAACGTCTACACGGAGATCAAATGTACCTCGCTGCTGCCCCTAGAGGACGCGGTGAGAGTGGTCACACACGAGGACTGTATCACAGAGGTACGTCTGAAATGGAACAGGCATATCATTAGTTAGTTAGTACCCTACATCGTCCTCATTTAGAAAAACCACAGCAGCGTGCAATGATCTGCAGACATACAACTGCAAAGATAATGTTAACATTATCATTCCAAAATGTATAGACCCCTGACCCAGCTGTGTGCGTGTGCGTGCGTTCCTCAGGTGAAGGTTGCCTATGTGAACTTTGTGAACCACTGCTACGTAGACACAGAGGTAGAAATGAAGGAGATTTACACCAGCAACCACATCTGGAAACTGTTTGAGGACTTCATCGTGGACATGGCCAGGGTAAGTCTCACTCCCCAATCAATGGGACCACTCTCACCCACAAGTGGGCGGCAGGTAGCCTAGTGGTTAAGAGCGTTGTGCCAGTAACCGAAAGGTCGCTGGTTCTAATCCCCGAGCCGACTAGGTGAAAAATCTGTCGATGTGCCCTTGAGCAAGGCACTTAACCCTAATTGCTCCTGTAAGTCGCTCTGGATAAGCGTCTGCTAAATGACTAAAATGTAATGTAAATGTAAGTCTCATCCTCGCTGTGTTTTGCGCAATCATATGACATAGCACGATTTTATCCTGTATTTTAAGCCTTATCCAGAAATGAGAATTAGACCAAACATGAAAGCGATTATCTGAGGATGGTGCTGGTCCATCTAACATGAAAATAAAAGTTTGATGAAAAAGCTTTCAATAAAAGGTTGAAATCCAGGCATGTCACATGATTGTGCAACACAGAGGGCCCTACCAGGGTCATACTGCCTGATGTGACCCGTGGGTCTTTGGGTAAAGTGACCCCGGCCTTTCATCTACAGTTCTTGTCCTCTCTAATCTCTCTTCCCTCTCTAGGTGTGTAACAAGAGAGAGAAGCATCTGACTGACCCTATCCTGGAGAAGTACATCATCAACGTGGTGTTTGACACCATCAATGCCTTCTTCAGCTCCCCCTTCTCTGAAAACAGCACCTCTCTACAGGTCAGTCAGCTCAGTCTCTGAAAACAGCACCTCTCTACAGGTCAGTCAGCTCAGTCTCTGAAAACAGCACCTCTCTACAGGTCAGTCAGCTCAGTCTCTGAAAACAGCACCTCTCTACAGGTCAGTCAGCTCAGTCTCTGAAAACAGCACCTCTCTACAGGTCAGTCAGCTCAGTCTCTGAAAACAGCACCTCTCTACAGGTCAGTCAGCTCAGTCTCTGAAAACAGCACCTCTCTACAGGTCAGTCAGCTCAGTCTCTGAAAACAGCACCTCTCTACAGGTCAGTCAGCTCAGTCTCTGAAAACAGCACCTCTCTACAGGTCAGTCAGCTCAGTCTCTGAAAACAGCACCTCTCTACAGGTCAGTCAGCTCAGTCTCTGAAAACAGCACCTCTCTACAGGTCAGTCAGCTCAGTCTCTGAAAACAGCACCTCTCTACAGGTCAGTCAGCTCAGTGACGCTGCCTACCCAGAGGCTTTGTCATGCTATAACGTTTACTGTATTACACTGTTTTAGTAGAGCACGTGTATTTTCTTTTGTATTGTCTTAACAGTATTTGTGTAGTCGTGATGTGTAATGAATTCTCATCCTGTGATTCTCCTTCCTCTGTGCCTGTAAACAGACCCACCACACCACAGTGACGCAGCTGCTCCAGTCGAGCATGCGTCTGCTGGACTGTCCCTGGCTGCAGCAGCAACACAGAGGCCTGGTGGAGACCTGCATCCGCACCCTGGCCATGACAGGTGAGACGGACCTACTGCAGGGCCCAGAGGCGGGCTACATTCAGGGGCATACTGGGCCTAGACACGCAGGGTCAAATTGAGGTCACATTCCTTTCATCTTCTTTGTAAATGTTACTTAAGATTGTTCTACATTTGTTTGAGTGCGAGTACCTTTTTGAACTCAGTGATTACTTTCTCCAATCTTATGTGTGCAGCGAAGAACCGCTCCATCTCCCTGCCCCTGGAGCTGGAGTCTCAGATCACCACCATGCTGAGCAGCAGTGCCACCAACTCTCTGTCCCGCTCCAACCCCAACTACAAGAGCTCCACCCGCTCCAGCCGCCCCCCCAACAACCCCTGGGACTACAAGAACATCATTGAGAAGCTGCAGGTTGGACCCATAATCCACCCTGCTCCCATTCCCCTCCTGTATCCATCACTTTATTCAGCCATAGCCACAACAGAATGAGAAATGACACATTTCCTTGGCCTCTGTCGCTCTGGTTTGTTTCCTGTTCTTGAGGGTTTGGTGTTTGACAGCGTGGATATAACCCTGTCCCTTCTGTCGGTTTGTCTGTGATGTAAACATTGTTCCTCTACACTGATGTTATCTTTTATCTACTTCATTTTTTGTTTAACTAAAGTGTGTTGCGATGTTTAATGCACCTTTTTAAATAAAGCTAGATTTGATTTATGTTCAGGACATCATCAGCACTCTAGAGCAGCGTCTGAAACCGCTGGTGAACGCTGAGCTGTCTGTTCTGGTGGACGTCCTGCAGCAGCCTGAACTCCTCTTCCTGGAGGGAACGGACGCACGGCAATGCTGCGAATCAGGAGGCTTCATCTCAAAGTAAGCCAAGGGACTGACCTTGTGGCTGGGGGGGGGGGGTACAAATATTTACGAATGCTAAGTTAAAGAAGGAGCATTCCAGGAATAGTTTTAGTTGGAGGAGGTCTAACACTGTGTACGTGTGAATCCCAGACTGATTCAGCACACTAAAGCCCTGATGAACTCTGAGGAGAAGCTCTGTATCAAGGTTCTGAGGACGCTGCAGGAGATGCTCATACGTACACTGGACTTTGACGAGAAGGTAAAGACTTATGACCAGTCAGTGTAGGTCTTGTAGATTAACCAATATAATATCTGCGTGTATTTAATAAAGGTTTTATGAAGGTGCGTATTGAGGTCCTATTTGGGTAAGAAACTATCCAGTGTGTGTAGGGTGCTAACCATGTCTGTGTGTGGCTGAATTTCTCATCAATAAGGGGATTGCACTGAGGAAGGTGTTGCTACAAAACTACCTGTTCACTAACAACAACAACAACAACAACAACAAGGCAGATTTGGTTGAACTTGGAGCAACAGGTTTGTTTATATTAGGCTTAGAACGAGATTATTACGGATTGTGTTCCTATTTACAGTGTGTTAATGTGTATGTCTACAGTCGTGGTCAAACGTTTTGAGAATGACACAAGTATTGGTCTTCACAAAGTTTGCTGCTTCAGTGTTATGAGATATTTTTGTCAGATGTTACTATGGTATACTGAAGTATAATTACAAGCATTCCATAAGTGTCAAAGGCTTTTATTGACAATTACATTACGTTTATGCAAAGAGTCAATATTTGCAGTGTTGACCCTTCTTTTTCAAGACCTCTGCATTCCGCCGTGGCATGCTGTCAATTAACTTCTGGGCCACATCCTGACTGATGGCAGCCCATTCTTGCATAATCAATGCTTGGAGTTTGTCAGAATTTGTGGGTTTTTGTTTGTCCACCCGCCTCTTGAGGATCGACCACAAGTTCTCAATGGGATTAAGGTCTGGGGAGTTTCCTGGCCATGGACCCAAAATGTCTATGTTTTGTTCCCCGAGCCACTTAGTTATCACTTTTGCCTTATGGCAAGGTGCTCCATCATGCTGGAAAAGGCATTGGTCGTCACCAAACTGTTCTTGGATGGTTGGGAGAAGTTGCTCTCAGAGGATGTGTTGGTACCATTCTTTATTCATGGCTGTGTTCTTAGGCAAAGTTGTGAGTGAGCCCACTCCCTTGGCTGAGAAGCAACCCCACACATGAATGGTCTCAGGATGCTTTACTGTTGGCATGACACAGGACTGATGGTAGCGCTCACCTTTTCCGGACAAGGTGTTTTCCGGATGCCCCAAACAATCGGAAAGGGGATTCATCAGAGAAAATGACTTTACCCCAGTCCTCAGCAGTCCAATCCATGTACCTTTTGCAGAATATCAGTCTGTCCCTGATGTTTTTCCTGGAGAGAAGTGGCTTCCTCGCTGCCCTTCTTGACACCAGGCCATCCTCCAAAAGTCTTTGCCTCACTGTGCGTGCAGATGCACTCACACCTGCCTGCTGCCATTCCTGAGCAAGCTCTGCACTGGTGGTGCCCCGATCCCGCAGCTGAATCAACTTTAGGAGACGGTCCTGGCGCTTGCTGGACTTTCTTGGGCGCCCTGACGCCTTCTTCACAACAATTGAACCTCTCTCCTTGAAGTTCTTGATGATCCGATAAATGGTTGATTTAGGTGCAATCCTACTAGCAGCAATATCCTTGCCTGTGAAGCCCTTTTTGTGCAAAGCAATGATGACGGCACGTGTTTCCTGGCAGGTAACCATGGTTAACAGAGGAAGAACAATGATTTCAAGCACCACCCTCCTTTTAAAGCTTCCAGTCTGTTATTCTGACTCAATCAGCATGACAGAGTGATCTCCAGCTTTGTCCTCATCAACACTCTCACCTGTGTTAACGAGAGAATCACTGACATGATGTCAGCTGGTCCTTTTGTGGCAGGGCTGAAATGCAGTGGAAATGTTTTTGGGCGATTAAGTTCATTTTCATGGCAAAGAGGGACTTTGCAATTAATTGCAATTCATCTGATCACTCTTCATAACATTCTTGAGTATATGCAAATTATCATCATCAAAACTGAGGCAACAGACTTTGTGAAAATTAATGTGTCATTCTCAAAACTTTTGACCACGACTGTATACTGATTGTGTTTCTATTTACAGTGTGTTCATGTGTACAGTGGGGGGAAAAAAGTATTTAGTCAGCCACCAATTGTGCAAGTTCTCCCACTTAAAAAGATGAGAGAGGCCTGTAATTTTCATCATAGGTACACGTCAACTATGACAGACAAATTGAGAAAAATGTTTTCCAGAAAATCACATTGTAGGATTTTTAATGAATTTATTTGCAAATTATGGTGGAAAATAAGTATTTGGTCACCTACAAACAAGCAAGATTTCTGGCTCTCACAGACCTGTAACTTCTTCTTTAAGAGGCTCCTCTGTCCTCCACTCGTTACCTGTATTAATGGCACCTGTTTGAACTTGTTATCAGTATAAAAGACACCTGTCCACAACCTCAAACAGTCACACTCCAAACTCCACTATGGCCAAGACCAAAGAGCTGTCAAAGGACACCAGAAACAAAATTGTAGACCTGCACCAGGCTGGGAAGACTGAATCTGCAATAGGTAAGCAGCTTGGTTTGAAGAAATCAACTGTGGGAGCAATTATTAGGAAATGGAAGACATACAAGACCACTGATAATCTCCCTCGATCTGGGGCTCCACGCAAGATCTCACCCCGTGGGGTCAAAATGATCACAAGAACGGTGAGCAAAAATCCCAGAACCACACGGGGGGACCTAGTGAATGACCTGCAGAGAGCTGGGACCAAAGTAACAAAGCCTACCATCAGTAACACACTACGCCGCCAGGGACTCAAATCCTGCAGTGCCAGATGTGTCCCCCTGCTTAAGCCAGTACATGTCCAGGCCCGTCTGAAGTTTGCTAGAGTGCATTTGGATGATCCAGAAGAGGATTGGGAGAATGTCATATGGTCAGATGAAACCAAAATATAACTTTTTGGTAAAAACTCAACTCGTCGTGTTTGGAGGACAAAGAATGCTGAGTTGCATCCAAAGGGACCAGGACGACTGATCCGTGTAAAGGAAAGAATGAATGGGGCCATGTATCGTGAGATTTTGAGTGAAAACCTCCTTCCATCAGCAAGGGCATTGAAGATGAAACGTGGCTGGGTCTTTCAGCATGACAATGATCTCAAACACACCGCCCGGGCAACGAAGGAGTGGCTTCGTAAGAAGCATTTCAAGGTCCTGGAGTGGCCTAGCCAGTCTCCAGATCTCAACCCCATAGAAAATCTTTGGAGGGAGTTGAAAGTCTGTGTTGCCCAGCGACAGCCCCAAAACATCACTGCTCTAGAGGAGATCTGCATGGAGGAATGGGCCAAAATACCAGCAACAGTGTGTGAAAACCTTGTGAAGACTTACAGAAAACGTTTGACCTGTGTCATTACCAACAAAGGGTATATAACAAAGTATTGAGAAACTTTTGTTATTGACCAAATACTTATTTTCCACCATAATTTGCAAATAAATTCATAAAAAATCCTACAATGTGATTTTCTGGATTTTTGTTTCTCATTTTGTCTGTCATAGTTGACGTGTACCTATGATGAAAATTACAGGCCTCTCTCATCTTTTTAAGTGGGAGAACTTACACAATTGGTGGCTGACTAAATACTTTTTTTCCCCACTGTATGTCTATACTGATTGTGTTCCTATTTACAGTGTTTTATTGTATTCATGTGTATGTCTACGGAATGTGTTCCTACTTAGTGTTTTAATGTATTCATGTCTAGGTGCTGAGCAGGAGAGGGACTGGGCGGCTGTAGCTGCTATTCAGTGTCGTCTGGACAGGGAAGGTGGGACAAAGCTCTTCACTGACCTCATAATGAGTACCAAGAACAACAAGATCTTCCAGGAGAGCATCCAGCTGGCCATATGTCTGCTGGAGGGGGGCAACACGGAGATACAGGTAGGATATAACACAGGAGAGCACCCAGCTGGCAATATGTCTGCTGGAGGGGGGGCAACACGGAGATACAGGTAGGATATAACACAGGAGAGCATCCAGCTGGCCATATGTCTGCTGGAGGGGGGGCAACACAGAGATACAGGTAGGATATAACACAGGAGAGCATCCAGCTGGCCATATGTCTGCTGGAGGGGGGGCAACACAGAGATACAGGTAGGATATAACACAGGAGAGCACCCAGCTGGCCATATGTCTGCTGGAGGGGGGGCAACACGGAGATACAGGTAGGATATAACACAGGAGAGCATCCAGCTGGCCATATGTCTACTGGAGGGGGGCAACACAGAGATACAGGTAGGATATAACACAGGAGAGCATCCAGCTGGCCATATGTCTGCTGGAGGGGGGGCAACACACTGATCCTCATTCTTTCTGTGGATTTACTTCAGAACTCCTTCTACAAGCTGATGATGGGGGACAACAAGTCAGAGAAGTTCTTCAAGGTTCTCTACGACCTGATGAGAAACGCCCAGATGGACATTAAGGCCAACGTATCAGTCAGTGTAGGAGAGATGACTAACAAAGCCAATGACAACGAAGCCCTCCAGACTGGTGAGAGGGACACTACTCTGATCTCATTTAGTCTGTAGTGACTGTAGTGATTATGAAATAATTATGGTAATTTGCTGAAAAAACAATGACTGTGTGTCAATGACTACATATTGTACGTAAGTCTATATGGTATGGATATATTGTTGGTGTTTTTAAACTATCATTTCACTTTATTCATGGTTCCCTTCCTGCTATGTGTCCTGCCAGGCTCTGGTGGGTCGGTTCCACCCAGCTCCGTTGTCCCTGTCCCGGCCTCTGAGTCTGAGCAGCAGGAGACAGAGATGGGCCCTGCAGTTATCATCATGAAACCCATCCTACGCTTCCTCCAGCTGCTCTGTGAGAACCACAACCAGGACCTACAGGTGGGTGAGAGGCAGAACAAGTACCACTGATTCAGCTGAAACGGCTACTACTGCTGCTACTACTGCTACTACTACTGCTACTACTACTGCTACTACTACTACTACTACTACTACTACTACCACTGCTGCTGCTACTACTACTACTACTACTACTACCACTGCTGCTGCTACTACTACTACCACTGCTGCTGCTACTGCTGCTACTACTACTACTACTACTACTACTACTACTACTACTACTGCTACCACTGCTGCTACTACTACTACCACTGCTACTACTACTACTGCTACCACTGCTGCTACTACTACTACTACCACCACTACCACTGCTGCTGCTTCTGCTACTACTACTACTACTACTACTACTGCTACCACTGCTGCTACTACTACTACCACTGCTACTACTACTACTACTACTACTGCTGCTGCTACTACTACTACTACTACCACCACTACCACTGCTGCTGCTTCTGCTTCTGCTACTACTGCTACTACTGCTGCTGCTACTACTACTGATACTGCCATTTACTCTCTGCTGAGGTCTAAACAGACAGACGTCTTTATACAGAACTCACCTATGAGGTAGCTACTAGCTACGGGTGATGAAGCTGAAAATGTTCTGTTTAACCCAGCGACCCTAGATGACTTCCCTTTCCCTCCCAGAACTTCCTGCGCTGCCAGAACAACAAGACCAACTACAACCTGGTGTGTGAGACGCTGCAGTTTCTGGACATCATGTGTGGCAGCACCACGGGAGGCCTGGGCCTGCTGGGCCTCTACATCAACGAGAGCAACGTGGGCCTCATCACCCAGACCCTGGAGACGCTCACAGAGTACTGCCAGGGCCCCTGCCACGAGAACCAGGTCAGATAAATCGCACACAGTGCTACGGAAATGATTACTTCAGACAGATACTTTGATAATATTGCCAGAAATTAGGTTTATTAAAAGTTCTGTGAGTTTGAAGACATAACACAGATACTTTGTCATGTTGTGATAATAACTGTGTTTCTGTAGACCTGTATAGTGACCCATGAGTCCAACGGCATCGACATCATCACAGCCCTCATACTGAACGACATCAGTCCTCTGTGTTGTTACCGCATGGAGATGGTGCTGAAGCTCAAGGTTAACTTCCTGTTGTTCTGCTTTATAAATACAGATCTGTGTGTCCTAACTCCTCTGTGTCCTACCTCTGAAATTACATGGTCAGTGACGGTATTGTCTCTCCTGTTTCCAGGACAACGCCTCCAAGCTGCTGCTGGCTCTGATGGAGAGTCGCCATGACAGCGAGAACGCAGAGAGGATACTGTTTAACCTCCGACCTCAGGAACTGGTCAGAGCAAAGCAAAGACCGATCTCTATTTCTTCTTCTCCCTCTATTCTAGCTCCTCATTCTTCTTCATAACTAGCCTCTAAAACGGCCATTGTGTACAGCCATTGTATACACACAGGAAGGGGCAGAATAGTACAGAAGACCTCAGCCAATATCACTATTCCACTCTGTCCCCAGGTGAAGGTAATAAAGAAAGCCTACCAGCAGGAGAGTGAGTGTGAAGGTGGAGAGGTGTCGCCTCAAGAGGTCGGCCACAACATCTACATCCTGGCACTTCAGGTAACGCTCCCCTTCAGATTAATGGAGTATATTTATGCACTCCTATAATAATGTAATAAGTTAATGTTAGAGAATAATGCTTTCACCTGTTTTGCTTATGATTGTGGGCCATGTTTTCGTCAGCTGGCGAGGCACAATAAGATCCTGCTCAATCTGCTGAAACCTGCAAAGAGGACCAAGGAGGAGGGAGAGGAGGGCATATCCTCTATGGTTAGTGTCTCTTTCTCTCTGAGTCAGGCTTTGCATTCATTTGATCACTTTTGTCTATTAATTCCCTACTTGGCAGAATTCTTTGTAGCCTTTCTAACATGTGTTTATTTGAAGTCAGTTTGTTTGAACAAGGCAAGCTTCAGCATATCTGGTTCTCTCATTAATGGAGTAAGTTGTCCTGTGAACAGCCTCACTTCACATTACCTCTACGTCTGTGCTACAGCTGCTCGCATCAATGGCAGCAGACTCACTGCAAACTTTAACAACTGATTTTAATATAATAATAATAATAATAATAAGCCAATTAGACGATTTTATCCAAAGTGACTTAGTCATGTGGGCATACATTTTTTACATATGGGTGGGACCTGGAATCGAACCCACTATCCTGGCGTTGCAAGCACCATGCCGTCACATGGGGATATTTGCATATCCGTGCTTCATTTACATGCCTGGAAATGGTTTGAAGTAGTAGGTGTGGAGGGGCTTTCCTTTTGTTCTCTATTGCTCCTCAAGCAAGGGGAGAGGCTGATGAGAGGGAACCATCAGACTCACTCCTTGAATGGCCTACTCAATGAAGTTTGCAATTGTCTAAACATTATTTTGCTCAAAAACTATATATTTTGTACCGTTAAGTGTGTGTACATTACTGTATTTATACATGGGATATTGTTTTTCAAAAGGAAAAGTTCAAAAATAGTGTTTGTCCTGTTGACTTCCTGCAGCTGAACCTGAAAAACAGGCCTCTCTCTCAGATGTTGAAATCTACGGTGCCGGTGGAGATCGAAGAGCAGGACCCACTGGAGTTCTATGACCAACACACTTCACAGATCGAGGTCTCCACAGCCACACTTCTCCCCTCAATTCACCCATACTACAGTAGTCAATCTTGCTCATTGTAAATAGTCTGAAGTTCACTTGAACTGAAGTGCCCACTGCAAAAGACCACAATCCTAACTTGTTGTCCCTGTCCGTCTGTGTCGTCCGGTCAGATTGTGCGTGAGGACCGCAGCATGGAGCAGATCGTGTTCCCCATTCATCCCATCTGTGAGTTCCTGATGGAGGAGTCCAAGATCCGTGTGTTCAACACCACAGAGCAGGACGAGCAGGGCAGCAAGATCACACACTTCTTCCAGCAGGCCTCCTTCCTCCACAACGAGATGGAGTGGCAGAAGAAGCTCCGCAGTAAGCACAACAACAGAAAAGGAACTAACACTCACACTTGTCTTTTCCTACTAGCACCGACTTTGCTGATAACTTCTTATTGAGACCAACATGTACTGACTGTGATGTGTGGTTGTCTCACCTAGCTATCTTAAGATGAATACACTAACTGCAAGTCGCTCTGGATAAGAGTGTCTGCTAAATGATTCAAATGTAAGCTTGGCTCTTCTGATCCTCCTGTGTGTTTTCTACTGTCTTGAATCTCTCTCTCTCTCTCTCTCTCTTGGATGTTGTGCGATGATAGAAGGCTGAAGGATGTTTGTGTTTCAGGTATGCCAGTGCTGTTTTGGTTCTCTCGCAGGATGAGCACCTGGGGCAGCATCTCCTTTAACCTGGCGGTCTTCATCAACCTCATCATCGCGTTCTTCTACCCCTATGACTCAGGCCAAGGTGAGGCTCTGCTTGTGTGTGTCAGTGGAGGCTGCTGAGGGGAGGACGGCTCATAATAATGTCTGGAATGGAGTGAATGGTACCAAACACATGAAAACAACTAAATGTTTCATATATTGATTTCATCCTGTTGTGATTGCTATCCCCTAGGTGCGATAGACGACTCGATGCTGTCCATGCTGTTCTGGGGCTTCCTGGGTCTGTCTGTCATGGGCATGTTCTCCCAGGGTTACGGCCTCAGGCCCTTCACCGTGGCGCTCATACTGCGCTCCGTATACTACTTTGGCATCGGCCCCACTCTCGTCCTACTGGGCACCCTCAATGTAAGACTCACTCGAGTGAATTCCAACTGGGAGACTAAGTGAAACATTTACATTACGTGGAGGTTAGGATTGGCCTCTTAGGCCAGAGCCGGTTCTGTTAAACGTATTGATAAATATGAATCTTGATGATGTGCTGAATATCAATGACAACATGGTGATCCAATGACTGTTCATCTGTTCCTCTCCACAGCTGATAAATAAGATAGTGTTTGTGGTGAGCTTCGTGGGCAACAACGGGACATTTATCATGGGCTACCGTGCGATGGTGATGGACGTGGAGTTCCTCTACCACCTGGCCTACGTTCTGACCAGCACCCTGGGGCTCTGTGTCCACGAGCTGTTCTACAGCTTCCTGGTGGGTAACCCTCATGACTCACAATATTATGTTAATAATACTACTGGCATGAAGTACCAATCACCCGGCAATACATCATTCAGCACACACACATCTACACACACACAAAGACCCTAGGATTTTTTTCTTCTCTTTTTGTTGTGTGTGTAGCTGTTTGATCTGATCTACCGAGAGGAGACGCTGTTCAACGTGATAAAGAGTGTGACCCGTAATGGGCGCTCCATCCTGCTCACTGCCCTGCTGGCTCTCATCCTGGTCTACCTGTTCTCCATCGTGGGCTTCCTCTGCCTCAAGAACGACTTCATCATGGAGGTGGACCCCCTGCCTCAGATAACCTCAGGTACTGGACCATGAGACTCAGACAGACACCTGACTTACTGGACCGTCACCAACTCAGTGGCCTTGTGGTTAGAGTGTCTGATATTGGGAGTTCAATCCCTGGCTGAGTCATACCAAAGACTGCAAGAAATGGGACCCGATGCATCTCTGCTTGGCACTCAGCATTAAGGAGATAGACTGAGCCTAAGGCCCTGCAATAGACTATAGTGTCCTGTTCAGATCTGGGTTTGGTATTTAAATACTTTCTGTGTATTTGAGTATTTTCAAATACACATCCCAAAACAAGTACTTTTATTTGAGTATTGGAGATACCGTCCTGTAGGTTTTCACTCCAACCCTGTTCCTGGAGAGCTACCATCCTGTAGGTTTTCGCTCCAACCCTAATCTAGCACACCTGATTCTAATAACTAGCTGGTTGATAAGGTGAACCAAGTTAGTTACGAAAACATGTACTTTATGGTCGGTGTATGGTATACTATAGGGTTGTGATTAATTTGTGATCTCTTCTACAGGAGGACATGGCAATGAGGCGTCCCAAGACTTCCTGAACTCTTGCAGTAGAGATGGAGTCAGCTGCACTGCCAAGGCAGGACTCCCTGCTGAACCTGAGGGTTAGTCTCAACCTATTGTCTACACTTAGTAAATCATCTATTGCTCCTTTTATTGTTAAGTCGCCCTCGTTGTATTACAGGTTTGGCCAGGAAATACATGTTAAATAATATAAAACACATTTTGGATGTCAGATGATGAATGAGAGGTACATAGCTAAACAATTTACGGTTTAGCAGAGGAGAACAATTCGGAGCGGGCTTGTGACACTCTGCTCATGTGCATTGTCACTGTGCTGAACCACGGCCTGAGGAACGGCGGCGGGGTGGGAGACGTGCTACGCAGGCCCTCCAAAAACGTACGAACAAAAGACCCCCCCACACACACATTCACCTACTTACAATCCATCTCGTACACAAATCAGTATCACATCATGTCAAAGAGTAGAAAATGTTCCACAAGCCAACGTCATATTGTACCCTGTAGGAGCCTCTGTTCCCAGCCCGCGTCATCTACGATCTCCTCTTCTACTTCATCGTCATCATCATCGTACTCAACTTGATCTTTGGCGTCATCATCGACACCTTCGCTGACTTGCGTAGTGAGAAACAGAAGAAAGAGGAGATCCTCAAGACCACCTGCTTCATCTGTGGTGAGAGACCAATAGATTTTAGAAAGGAGAAAAAAAAAAAATTGTGTGATATGAGCTCATGTTATGCAATGTGAAACTCCCTGTAGGTCTGGAGAGGGACAAGTTTGACAATAAAACCGTGTCGTTTGAGGAGCACATAAAGTTGGAGCACAACATTTGGAAGTACCTTTACTTCATTGTGCTTGTTCGCGAGAAGAACAAGACTGACTACACTGGACCAGAGAGTTATGTGGCACTCATGATAAAGGTACAGTAAGCAGGTTTGGTTCTAGTTTCATTGGAAACACAACCACCTCTAGAATAATTATCACTGAAACCAGTTTACGTCTCCTTATTGTATGTAGCATTGGATACCTTGGTCTCTGGGGTCATGTTGCTAGGGAAGAGCACTGCCACTGACTCCACATGTCCTCCCCGGTCTGTCTCAGAGTAAGAACCTGGACTGGTTCCCCCGCATGCAGGCCATGTCCCTGGTGGTGACGGATGGAGACGGGGACCAGAACGAGATGAGGAACCTGCAGGACAGACTGACGTCCACTATGATCGTGGTCAGCCAACTCACAGGACAGCTAACAGAGCTCAAAGAGCAGGTATAGCACACAGACCTAGATTCGATCCGTATTGCAGAAGATCCGCGCTGTAGTGTGATTGAAATATAAAGGCAATGTCCTTGTGTTCGCGGAGCCTTCATTCACGGTAAATGCTGCATGTCAGCTCAATCGGAAATTACATGATGTAATAATAAATAATAATAATTGGTCATTTAGCAGACGCTCTTATCCAGAGCGACTTACAGGAGCAATTAGGGTTAAGTGCCTTGCTCAAGGGCACATCGACAGATTTTTCACCTAGTGGGCTCGGGGATTAGAACCAGCAACCTTTCGGTTACTGGCACAACGCTCTTACCCACTAAGCTACCTGCCTCCTGTCACAGCTTTAAAGCAATACGGATAGAATCTAGCCCCTAGTCTCTTGTGAGAGACATTGAGGAGCTGGCCAGCTCCAGAACAATATTTGGTTCTGGTTACCCCGATAACACAGCACACAAAATACAATGCACGTATTCACATGATCTCTTATCCAGGGCAAGTAACGTAATATAAAAATGACCTGTATAATGATAAATGAATAAGATGCCTATGATGCTGATCTATTTGGGAGAAAAAAAAGTCTGGAGTACAATTTGGTTAACTGATGTCCTCATGATAGGCTAGTGTTTCCAGGAGGATGCCCCTGGCCTGGCTGGCTGACATACTGTTTCCTGTGTAGATGACGGATCAGAGGAAGAGGCGGCAGAGGATGGGCTTTGTGGATGTCCAGTCGGGAGGAGGAGCAGGTGCTGCTAGCATGTCACCCAGTGTTGCTGGAGGAAACCATCAGATGTCCAACAAACCCTGATCGATGTCCTATCTTACTGCATCACCATCGCCGCCACGCTTTGCCATAGACGGAGTCCGCCAAGCCTATCGATACTATCCAAGATCAGCCAACACTCTGTGATGGAATCATCAATCATGTGTTAAACATAGTGGAGATGTTCTCAGTTGTGACTGATGCTGACAGGACTGAGTTACTGCTGTTGGGTTCTTTGTAAATCCACTCCATTTGTTTCTCCTTAAAAAAGGGGCTCCTTCAGCACCTCCAGTAATGTCTGAAGAAATAGAGGAACATTATCAATCTCGGTTCTTGGTCCATGCATGTTCATGTCCTCAGAGCTATTTATTAATGGCATTTGTACAGTTGTAAACACACCACATGACGACAACATGGGAAAGTGATACTATGGCAACACATCCATCCATTATTTATAACTATAGTAATGATTTACAGATTACTACAGTAGGCCCATGAGTACCACCAAATGTTTGATTGTCTGAAGCATGCAGAGATTTGGAACACGTTCACTTGTCACAGAGCCATTGTATTGGCCCTCTGAGAAATGTCTCCATTGCACTCAGAAATTGAAACTTGACAACTGAATGTTATCTTCTGACAGGCATCAGTAAAATTCATTTGATTTTAACTGTTTGTTTTCACTTCTATACAACATGCCAGTATAGTATGCAATTTCTTCCAAATGAAAAATGAGGAAGTAAAACCTTCACTACATTTTTAGGATAGATTTATTCAACAAAATACATTCCAATCATTTTAGAAAACAAGTTAATACATAGACAAAGGACATAACTGAGGAAGTACTTTCTGAAAATATGATTTTGTTAAGTATAAACAGAGTTAAGGCTAGAGTTCATAATATATAAAGGTAAAAAGGCAGGCACTTTCAGAGAAAGCATTGTTCCAAGTGCTTAGTATTTTAATTATTTTGTCAATAGCCTAGATTGTTAAGTTTGTTTGGAATTTTGACACTCAAGTAATTAAAGTATGAAGACTACTAGCCTGTTCTTTCACTGAGTAGGGAGGTACCTTTTTTGCACTTTCACAGGATTATTGTAGTTGTACTCTGTAATAATGGCCTTAGTGATACAGGACCTATTTTAGTTACAAAAGTAAGGCAAAAATAAGTCATACCTTTAGTCTAAAACATTCACTCACACACAATTCCAGCGGTGCGTTCCGATTCGGCTCTAATCGGAGATTTGGAACTCACCGTAGACTAGCATGCTTTTCCCTCATGCAAATCTATACTGACAAAGTGACTAAAATCTAATAAAAGTACAGAGGCTGCACACTCATGAAGCATAATACTATATCAATAAAAACATTCTCTGAATAATCTGGGCTATTAGGAATTACCCCAATTCCTTGCCGAAAGGTATTGAATTTCCAGATTTAACGAGTAGGAGTGCTTTGTTGACATTTGTTTTCCCTTAATTCTTTAATGTGTAAACAAGCAAATAATATCCACCTGTAACAGGTAGAAAATGATTTAACTACTCTGTCTTGCTTTCACTATTGCGTGTACATAGTTAGTGGAAGATTTGCCTTAAATTCCTGTTCCCTTATCAAAATTAACTGTTCGATCCTTTTATCATCCTAAAAGTTATTAATTAAAAGGTAAGAAATAAAAAAAGGTTTTAAAAGCAGCAATACTTGAAATATTGACCTGGGAAAATAAGTTTAATAAAAATATTTGTATTTGCTACAAAGCAGCTGTATCATAAATATAATGATCAAAATAACTTTAGTGTTTTCAATTTACAAGGTAAAGCAAAGTAAATACTTGATTGTTTTCTACTTATTGTGCATGACTTGGTCAGTTGAGTGTATTAATTAGAACGTCAGTAACAATCCAGACTGCTCTAGAGTGCTGTGGAAAATACATGTCAAAAGAGACCAACGCCCTCATTACTAGGATAGGCTACATGAAGTGCATTCCTCATAACTAACTATGAGTACCATTATCTTTGGATTAAGTGATGTTGTCCCCTTTGACCTTGGCCTTAGTGTCTCCCTCGCTCTCCACCAGGGCTTCCTTTATCAGGTACTCCTTCAGGCTGGGCTGGTTCCCTACATCAGCCCCAGAGTCCTGGATCTCCTGCAGCAGCACCTCCCACCGCCGCTTATCCTTGGAGATCTTCCACGACAGTCTGACGTTTGCCTGGAGGAGCGGGATGAGCAGTGGGTGAAAGTGGTGCTGCTGCAGGGCCTCCGGTGAGGGGGCCAGGTCCTTCAAGGCTCGGTCACAGTACTCCTGGGCCTCCCCCAGTTGCTCCAGCTCCTGGAAGCAGGTCACCAGGGCCAGCAGGGTGAAGAGCCAGTGAGTGCGCTGCTGGTGGTGAGGCTGCTGCTTCCCCTGCTGCTCACAGCCTAGCTTCTCCTGGAGCCTCAGGCCGTTGAGCAGAGGGCCCAGGCCCTCCTGGTAACGGCCCACACGCATCAGCATCTGACCAGCCTGCAGGTCACCCAGGTAGAAGAACTCCAGGAAGGTGGCCGAGCTCCGCAGCTCAGCCAGCGAGTGCATGTGGGTCAGGTACTGCTCAAACGCCCGGCTACGCTTGGCGATGGTCTCGGCCACAAAGTTCTTACGCAGCTTCTTGCGGGGGAAACAGACGCGCTCCATGTCGACCCTGTGACGACGACGAAGTCGGCTGTGCAGACGCTCGAAGTCGGTGTATCGCCGGGTGATGACGGCGGGGGTTTTGTCAAACATCCCAGACTGGATCACATGGATGGTGTAGAGCTGAGGAGGGGGAGAGGTGTCACACACAGGCTTAGCCAGGGACTAGACTTTCATCTCTGCTGTTTTCACACTTACCACATACTTGGAGGAGCTCTCTTGCACCACACTGGCATCAGTCACTTCAAACACCAGCTTGTCAGGCACACTACGGCTCCGTAAGCTCCTCCAGCTCTCCTGCAGCTGATGTGTGAGCAGGGATGAGCCTCCTGGAGATGGGCCCACTGGGCTGGTGTCTGAGAAAGAAAGAGAGAAATGTCAGCTCAGATTGCCCTAAAACCGCTAATCTAAACTGAAAAAGATCAGACTGCCCTAAAACCACTCATCTAAACTGAGAAAGATCACAGACTGAAAAACCTGAAGTGAAATTTGCAATTTCAAGAAAACAGGATACTGTGGAATGAATGAATGCTACTGTTATTCTGGTCAGACTGTTTCAGTTTACTGGGCCTAATAGTACATTATTGTCCATACATATCACAGTTGTGAATAGAGCCAGAACTGAGTACCGGCGCCTCAAATATTCTACAGCTTGAGTTCCTGCACCTCGTAGAATATTGGGTTAAAAGTATTGCGAAGTTCCTGCAACTAAACACAAAACAGTACCGGCACCTATTTCAGTTGCTGCTAAGGTCTACATTACCTGTGCTGCTGAATCCATCCTCTACAGACTCTCCAAGGAAGTCCGAATCACTGTCTGGTCCTGAGGCCTCACCTGGGTCTTCTGATTCCATGGCGCTCTCCACATCGAAGCGGAGTGTTCCCCCAAGCCGCTCTGATAGACACTCTGTATCGTCTTCTAACTCAGAACTCTCTGGGAAGCTGTCCTCTTGTACATCAATTGGCTCCCTAGAGACTACTTCTCCTTCTTTGAACAGTGTCCGTCTCAGTCTGTCCAATAGCTTAGAAGCCATCCCATCAGACCACTAGGAAATAGTTTGTCATTTGATTTGATTTCAGATAGTATATTTTAGTGTACAACCTACAAGAAATCCATGTAGGTGTAAGTCTGCTTATAATGGTAAATATCATCATAATCATTATTTTGTATGGTAACGTGTCAGATCAACTAGTTAACTCTACTAACGTTACTGTTACACCCCCGCTAGCAAGTTCGGATGGAAACATTGTAACGTTAGCTTATGAATAATAGAAATCCTGAAACTAGACACTTCCAAGTAGGGGTCTTAATAAAGAAAATATATACTTTTGTATCTAACTAGTTAGCGTTTCTTTGAATATTGCCTTTGCCTGATTGTTTAAACACTAAAAACAGCCATGCATGCAAGATGGAGAACCAAGGCAAGCGCTCCAACGTGCAAATGTATTGTCAGCGACTTTACATTTTAGTCATTTAGCAGACGCTCTTATCCAGAGTGACTTACAGTTAGTGAGTGCATACATTTTTCATACTGACTTGAACTAGAAGGTAAAGAAAACCTAGCTAGTTACAGTAGCAGACAAGCTAGCTAGTTACGAATGCAAAATAGGCTCGCGAGCTAGCCAATCTAACTAAGCAGGGTTACCTACCCTTACCCTAACCACTTTAAAATGTCAACGTCAGTGGTGGGGTAGGGACGTCCCAAGGATCCCAGATAGCAGGGACCATCTAACTAGGTCGTTAAACGAAGCTAGCAAATAATACAAATCGCTATCGTTAGCTAGCTAGCAAGTCAAGTCGGCTTATTTAGCTAGTTAGCTTGCTAACGTAGCTATAGCAACTATGCAACATGCTACTGTAGTTAGGTAAGCTAATTTAGCTACTTTATTTAGCTAGCAAAACTTTTTTTTTTTTCTTCATTTTAGCAGACGCTCTTATCCAGAGCGACTTATAGTTAGTGAGTGCATACATTTTCATAAACCTAGCGGTCGAGCTACAAAGTAGCTATAGCTAACGGAGTTGCAACTCTTACTCACTGTTATGATGGATCAGTAAAGCACCCGTCCTTATTTCATCAGCATTATGCCGCTTCGGTCTCTCTCCCAAACGTATTTAGGACAGGACAGTCTATCCGACCTCTTTACCACTGGCTACAGCGCTCATTGTCTTCTTCTTCTTTGGGATTGTGTTTCTTCTTCAGTGGGGTTTATCGGCGGTTGGCATCCAACGTTATGGTGCATTACCGCCACCTACTGTGCTGGAGTGTGGGCCAGAGACAGGGAGAATCTAAATCCTACCTACCAGCCCCATTGCTCTTAAAAATGATAACAACATATTTGAGACTATATCTAATGACGTTCTACTCAATATACTCTTTAAACTAATTTCCTGTATCCCCTTCTCCCTCATACTAGATCTCATCCTGGGATTGTGTTGGCGGATCGCATCCAATTTAATGTAGATACACCGCCACCTACTGTACTGAAGTGTGAGGCCATTCACGACCTACCTACATTTATTTAATTTGTGATACTGTACTATAAAATTGGGGAAAGGAAAAATTATCCCGCCAACTAATAGCCCAATCTATATATAATATATATATATATACTCAGCAAAAAAAAGAAACGTCCTCTCACTGTCAACTGCGTTAATTTTCAGCAAACTTAACGTGTAAATATTTGTATGAACATAACAACATTCAACAACTGAGACATAAACTGAACAAGTTCCACAGACATGTGACTAACAGAAATTGAATAATGTGTCCCTGAACAAAGGGGGGGTCAAAATCAAAAGTAACAGTCAGTATCTGGTGTGGCCACCAGCTCCATTAAGTACTGCTGTGGATCTCCTCCTCATGGACTGCACCAGATCTTGCTGTGAGATGTTACCCCACTCTTCCACCAAGGCACCTGCAAGTTCCCGGACATTTCTGGGGGGAATGGCCCTAGCCCTCACCCTCCAATCCAACAGGTCCCAGATGTGCTCAATGGGATTGAGATCCGGGCTCTTCGCTGGCCATGGCAGAACACTGACATACCTGTCTTGCAGGAAATCACGCACAGAACGAGCAGTATGGCTGGTGGCATTGTCATGCTGGAGGGTCATGTCAGGATGAGCCTGCAGGAAGGGTACCACATGAGGGAGGAGGATGTCTTCCCTGTAACGCACAGCGTTGAGATTGCCTGCAATGACAACAAGCTCAGTCCGATGATGCTGTGACACACCGCCCCAGACCATGACGGACCCTCCACCTCCAAATCGATCCTGCTCCAGAGTACAGGCCTCGGTGTAACGCTCATTCCTTCGACGATAAACGCAAATCCGACCATCACCTGGTGAGACAAAACCGTGACTCGTCAATGAAGAGCACTTTTTGCCAGTCCTGTCTGGTCCAGTGATGGTGGGTTTGTGCCCATAGGCAACGTTGTTGCCGCTGATGTCTGGTGAGGACCTGCCTTACAACAGGCAGGCCTCAGTCCAGCCTCTCTCAGCCTATTGTGGACAGTCTGAGCACTGATGGAGGGATTGTGCGTTCCTGCTGTAACTCGGGCAGTTGTTGTTGCCATCCTGTACCTGTCCCGCAGGTGTGATGTTTGGATGTACCGATCCTGTGCAGGTGTTGTTACACGTGGTCTGTCACTGCGAGGACGATCAGCTGTCCGTCCTGTCTCCCTGTAGCGCTGTCTTAGGTGTCTCACAGTATGGACATTGCAATTTATTGCCCTGGCCACATCTGCAGTCCTCATGCCTCCTTGCAGCATGCCTAAGGCACGTTCACACAGATGAGCATCTTTCTTTTGGTGTTTTCAGAGTCAGTGGAAAGGCCTCTTTAGTGTCCTAAGTTTTCATAACTGTGACCTTAATTGCCTTCCGTCTGTAAGCTATTAATGTCTTAACGACCATTCCACAGGTGCATGTTCATTAATTGTATATGGTTCATTGAACAAGCATGGGAAACAGTGTTTAAACCTTTTACAATAAAAATAAAAAAGATCTGTGAAGTTTATTTGGATTTTTACGAATTATCTTTGAAATACAGGGTCCTGAAAAAGGGACGTTTCTTTTTTTACCAGTCAAAAGTTGACACACCTACTCATTCAAGGGTTTTTCTTTATTTTTACATTGTAGAACAATAGTGAAGACATCAAAACTATTAAATAACACATATGGAATCATGTAGTAACCAGAAAAGTGTTAAACAAATCAAAATATATTTTATATTCAAAGTAGCCACCCTTTGCCTTGATGACAGCTTTGCACATTCTTGACATTCTCTCAACCAGCTTCACCTGGAATGCTTCCCACATATGCTGAGCACTTGTTGGCTGCTTTTCCTTCACTCTGCGGTCCAACTCATCCCAAAACATCTCAATTGGGTTGAGGTCGGGGGATTGTGGAGGCCAGGTCATCTGATGCAGCACTCCATCACTCTCCTTCTTGGTCAAATATCCCTTACACAGCCTGGAGGTGTGTTGGGTCATTGTCCTGTTGAAAAATAAATGATAGTCAAACCAGATGCGATGGCGTATTGCTGCAGAATGCTGTAGTAGCCATGCTGGTTAAGTGTGCCTTGAATTCTAAATAAATCACAGATGGTGTCACCAGCAAAGCACCCCCCCACCATCACACCTCCTCCTCCATGCTTCACGGAGGGAACCACACATGCGGAGATCATCCGTTCACCTACTCTGCGTCTCACAAAGACACAGCAGTTGGAACCAAAAATCTCAAATTTGGACTCATCATACCGGACAGATTGAATAGGTGTCCAAACCTTTGACTGGTACACTACCAGTCAAAAGTTTGGACACATCTACTCATTCAAGGGTTTTTCTTTATTTTCACTATTTTTTACATTGTAGAATAATAGTGAAGACATCAAAACTATGAAATAACACATGGAATCATGTAGTAACCAAAAAAGTGTTAAACAAATCAAAATATATTTGAGATTCTTCAAATAGCCACCCTTTGCCTTGATGACAGCTTTGCACACTTGATGCCAATTTTCCTCGCCACACTGTTTCCCTCTACATTTTAGTCATTTAGCAGACGCTCTTATCCAGAGCGACTTACACTGGTCCCCCGTGGGAATGGAACCCACAACCCTGGCATTGCAAGCACCATGCTCTACCAACTGAGCTACAATCAATTTCTTCTCAACAGTCACTGCACCTGCCACCACATCTAATTCATCCTCACTCTCGTCACTCAATTTCCTCACGTTCTTCCCCTTCACCAGATGTTTCCTGTGGCCTGTGTAAATCAATCCCCCATACCATGTTTATTCATAATATTCTCCACTTTCAATACTGCTACCTGAGATATTGGAGAAAGGAGGAGATAGGAATCCCATTGGCCAATAAATGGAGGAAGATATAACCACAGATATAACAATGAGCCAGACATTTCACCAGATGTGAAGTTTCCGGTTGGGGTTTCAGCTCACTACCAAATATGGTGATGAGAGGAATCCCAGTGGCCGACAGTGAGAGAAGATGGAGCGTGTGTTGAAAGGAAAGTAGTGGGCGTGTGGAAAGCGATCTGCCATGAGTCGTATTTCACTATTAGTTTTACACAAATAATTGTACATTTTCAGTTATAAAACTGATGATTAATTACTTTTTATTAAAAGTATTTATGATGGGTGTACTGTTGCTTCATGCGTTGTATGTATGTGTGTGCTTAGGGTTAAGTTTAGGAGTTCGGTTAAAGGGTTAAAGTTAGGAGAAGGTTTAGCTAAAAGGGTTAAGGTTAGGGTAAGGGTTAGCTAACATGTTAAGTAGTTGCGAAGTAGCAAAAAAGTTGTAAGTAGTTGAAAAGTTGCTAATTAGCTAAAATGTTACGGTTGTCCATGTTGAGATTTGAACTCACAACCTTTGAGTTGCTAGACATTTGCGTTATACAGAGGGTCTAACACATGTATCCTATTTGTCTGCCTCTTCAGTCCAGGGTTTATTGCATGGTGCCGTTGCAAATGTCAGACTCCACTCTGTGAGGTACATCGATCTGCAGGTTGAACATGGT